ACAGGCACACGGAGGCAAACACGCGCACACAAAGACACTCTGCCATGTTTTTACATTTGCCATGTAATCCTGGCAAATGTCTTTTTACTGTGCCATCATTTCTTGAAACTAGTTTGCTTAAAACACACACGCACGTACGCACACACGCAGACACACAAACGTACTCTCTCTCTCACCATTTCTGCGTTTCATTGCGTTTATGTGATTTTGATCTCAATGAGACCTTTTGGCTCTTTTTTAAAATGTTTAAGATAGGTTGTGTTACTTTACACTTTTTCTGTTAGTCTGTGTGTGTGTGTGTGTGTGTGTGTGTGTGTGTGTGTGTGTGTGTGTGTGTGTGTGTGTGTGTGAAAGACTTTAGAAGTTGGCACTAACCCCCTCCAAGCAGCCAGGGGACGAGAGAGTTATGAGGCATTTAGGACTTTTTTACAGGACCTGGGAAAAAAAAAACGAGCAAACGGTTCATGTGCCACCAAACTCTTATAAAATTCCTCAACCAACACCTTCTGAGTGAGAAGAAAGGGAGAAACAGGGAGAGAGAAACTGTCACGGCACCAATTAAAATGTTTACATTTAAAAAGTTTGGCCAAGGAACGAAAATCCCCAAACACACACACACACACACACACACACTGAATCATTGGCTTGGAAAATGCAGGCCAGCGATAATCACGGCATCAGCAAGACTTTCTTTCAGTCCCGGCATCTTTCTTTTGGCCTGGTTTTCCTCCAAGCGCACACCCAAATTTCTGGCGGTGCTCGCATACTTTTGGCGAACAGCCTCGATAGTGAGGCGTAAATGCGTGTTTTTGTATTTGTGTGTGGTGATAAACAAAGAGGCGAAAGGGGAGGGAGTTTGAAGAAGAGGAGGAAATGAGAAGAGAAGAGATATTAAACAATGAGAAGGAGACTACGCGATAGAGAAGAGGAGAGAGCGCAATCAAGAGGGAGATTAGGGATGATGGAAAGACGGAACAACACGGACCACCTCAAAGTCGTGAGAGAAACACTGACGACGGAGAAATAAAAGGAGGTGAAAAAAGAAATGGAGAGACCACCAGAGTGAACACTAGAGGGAAGGCCGGAGATTTCAACGTCCATTTCTCTCCCAGCACAGCTCCCCTTAGACCATACGCTAGAATCACTTTTACTGCCAAGTCATCCACAACTTTACCCTTGTGTGTGTGTGTGTGTGTGTGTGTGTGTGTGTGTGCGTGTGTGTGTGTGTGTGTGTGCGTGTGTTTGAGTGCACATACTTGCTCGTGACAGGGGCCCTCAGAATGCCAGTAAACTGCAGCTCTGTTTTGGTTATTGCTTTCAACAGAGAAGAGCTAAAACTTTATATAACACAGTATGATGCAACGCTGTGTGTGTGGGTGTGTGTGTGTGTGTGTGTGTGTGTGTGTTTGGGCTGAGTCAGGACAATTCTCTCTACTATTAACACAACAAGGAAACATACATTTCCCCACCGACAGCCACACTCCCGTCCCTGTGAAGGGACCTGTGTTCAGTCAAACAATGGCCTCTCTTTGTAGGAATAAGTGCGTTGTGCGTGACCTCGGGCTTTTTTTCACGCTGATAGTCTATAGACGAATGCATGATAAGAGACCTCTGTGGTTATATAATGTAAACATGGAGGAAAGCTACTCAATCATCCTCAACAGACCCCCTAAAGTTTCCCATTTAAAGCCAGAATTAGAAGACTCCAAATCCAATAAAGGAACTTTGTATAAGGTGAGGTTAATTAAGTTAGGAGAAAGAGCCAATGTGTTTGAACGAGCCGTGCTGGTCTTTGATAAAGCGCGTATGTTTATGTTCGCAAAACGGGGTCACTGTGATATCGTGTGGTATGTGGAGAGTTATACGGGGCTTGCGCTTAACTCAATCTCCAAGATAAACAGCCTCGGGCGGGACGACTGAGAGGATTCATATAAGTTGGGTCCCTCCCCGCTTCCTCTTTTCCTCGCTTCTGCGTTCATTTTGAAATGCCGCCGTGATCCTCCGCACCGTCCGAAACCCCGCTTCTCTGTTCACCTCCGTCCATCCATCTGAGAGGTATTAGCGATGTGAGAGGATGCTTTGTCGACGTGAATGTGGTGGCTCGGGGTCCAGCTGGGGGTCCCTGCAGTCTGGGGACGGGGGTCAGTCTTGAGAGGTCACAGGTCAGGAGGGATGGGTGCAGTTGGCACCGACCTCAGGGAATGTGTGAGCACTCATTATGTTACTGGGCCGCTTTGCCCTCACTTCCTATCTGTCAGTCCTCTGTCACTCTCTTCCTTCCTGCTCGCGATCACGCACCGCGTTACCGTAGCTGCCTCCAAAATGCTTCCCATGCTGCTTCCTTGCAAGCTGGTAACGATGGAGGCTGTGTGCCAGCAAAGGGGTCCTCCAGGCTGAACTGTCATCAAGAGGACGGAGCGCTGAGGAGACAGAATGACACTTTGTCTCAACGAGAGAAACAATGAAACATCATTGGGGAATTCCTCCCAGAATTAAAAGAAAAAAAGCAAATACAAAGGGAGATAATTAATAAGAGAGAGTAGAATGTGTTGCAAAATGTGTTGCTTCCTTCCACAACACAAGAAACTAGTGGCATCTTTGTTTTTACAATTGTCGATTTCATATTTTGTATTCCTGTAATTGTGCTTTGGTAACACATACTTAATTGTCATGCCAATAAAGCCTGATGAATTGAATCTATGTTTTAAAACTGGGTTTGGTAATCTTGAGACAGTAGCGTAAGTACGCTAGATTTTAAAAAGTATTCAACTGATAAAACCCTGTCCATAGCTGCCAATACTTTTAGCTGCAGCACTCAATCCAAAAGGTGCTAAATTTAGTGAGAAAGTGTCTAACTGACAGTTATTCAAATCACCACCACAAAATTATTATTATTATTAACACAACAATAACAGGTCATCATGAATGCAAACAATGAACTAGATGTTTTTTCTCCTTTTCTTACAGAGTGACAATGTCATCAGAAAGGATTATCTTGATCTGCGATGCTCAAGTCAAAAGCAGCAGAAAACAAATAAAAAGAGACTCCAAAGCATACGGGATTACATAAGTACACTTACACTTTGACAAAGACACACACACACACACACACACACACACACACACACATACAAGCAGACTGCTTCAGGTTGAAATGAAACACGATAATTAGCACTAATGGAAACCAGGCTTGCAAATCTCCCACCTCCTCCTCTTGTTACCCCGTAAAGGGAGAGCTGTAGAGAGACGTGGAGATGAGGTGACACCAACTGAAATAAGAAAAGGGAGTAAGACAAGAAGGTCTATGTTCGTTTGAACGAGTAGACAAACATCATGATGGCCCAAATGTCCACGTGCAGAGGCGTGGGGAGCCCCTTCTCACAAAGATGTACAGCGCCTGGTTTTAAAACACACACACACACACAGGCCTGCACCTTTGACTCTTAGATCAGTGCAAAGACTGCACAGCGGGGAGATATAAACTGTGATTAATGAGCGGGACACAGAGAGAGAGAGTGTCAGTCATCAAAGAGTTTATCAGAGCAGACTTACAACCAGAGAGCCAGATGCCTCCACGCTGATAACCAGCGGTCATCCCAGTACCGCCGAACATCAAAGGTGGGCAGGAGCTCAGTCGCTCTTCCCCCTCTTTCTGTCTGTGGAATGTATTTCCCTGTTTGGTAGGCGTGAGAAATCTCCATCAGTGTGTAAAACATATATATATATATATATGTGTGTGTGTGTGTGTGCGTTTTGAGTGAGCGAGCGAGCCTTCGAAGCCTCAGAGGTGACATTCCTCTGTGTCAGAGCAACAGCCTCAAGTTTAAGATAACACGGCAACGGTGATCTCAGGGTGGGAATCGATTCCCCTTGATGGCAGGCGAGGACCTCGGGTCAGAGCTGATGGCTTTACCTTCCGCACGCAACCCGTGAAGCAAAAACACAGTAAGGCTCCCATAATCATCACTCAACAACCCTATGGAGAGATGTGGAACGCGCTATGAAGTGTTTCTCTGTATCTCTCATGTATGACAGCTCCAAGTGCTCCTGTAACATTCTATTCCTGTAGGAACTGGGTCGTCTTTAAGCACTTGTCACTGGACTTTTATGGGTAGAACACTTTTGGTAATGGGGCCCCATCTGGTCCAATAGCCTTTGTTTGATAGTGCTACATTCTGTGTATGTAGATCAATTTTTGAAAATGTTCCATTGGCGATTAGGCCGTTGTGCTTTGCTCAAGAAGACTTACTAAAGGTAGGTTTCATGAGTTATTGTTGATTTAAAACCAGATATTTGCTCAGTTTCAGGCTTTTTCATTTCAATATAATGCACATTGAAAGTGAACATTCAATTGAATTGAATTCAATCGATTTTTGAATACACCAAACTCACAAAATACAATGATAATGACTTACAGCCAAATTGATATTAAAATCCTGCCTCTAATGATCATTTAAATTTCTCATTCTACAGCTTGGTTGTTTTGATCAATGAGATTGTATGTAAATATGTTATGTAACCACACAGGAATTCGGGTTGCTTTATGACCCTTTATATCCGTCAGAGCTCTGGTCCGTTGTAGCACCTGCAGGAGACTCCCATAATGACCTGTGGCTTGTTGGACATCTGGGAATATCATGCATGCCTCACACAGCTCTACAGTCACGCTGTTCAAACAGACCACCGGCTAATTATGGCTTCCCCAGATCCCCGAGCTCAAGAAATCACTACAGACTAAGACACGGGTATGAGATGTTTTCTTTTTCCGCCTCCACTGTGGTTTAGTATTTAATTGTCGATTCAGCAACAAACAATGAAAATAAACTCTCTGCTCAAAGTACTACTGAGACTATGGGACAGGAGTTTGTTGCCAAAAATGTTGGATATTTAAAACATTTCAAACATATATCAAACATTTCGAGTGTCAAATAGCCACCCGTGTTGTATTACTTTGTGACTCAGCTTATTGTTGTGAAAGCCTAAAGAATATTCAGACAATGGAGAAGTAAGAACTTTTATTTCCTTTATTCAAGATATTACCAAATATTTACAACACTCAAAATGTGCAGACTCCTGATCCATTCAGAATTATGTGATATCCCAAAAATAAATAACTTTCATTTGAGTGGGGAAAAGGAAATGCAAGTTTGTGTAGAAAAATAAATACAAAATACTTCATTTACTGTGAAACGTTGTCACCAATAATTTGGAATGAATTCTCATATTTTTCCCTCATGTTTCCAAACAGAGCAGTTGATCCGACATCGTTTTGTTTTTACTACATTCATTGTCGCAGTGGTCTTTCTTCATATCCGTCCTGTCTGTTCTAAGTGCTCCCTTGCAAACATTAAAGTCCTTGCAATGGGAAATATGAAAAGGCCGCTCTCCTCTGAGGCCTGAAGCACAGCTTGGTCCCTCGGCTGTTATAAGATTGTTTCAGTCTCATCCACTAGTTCTTCACTCTGGATAATCTGTGAAAGAAATGCAAATCCAGTTAAGAATAAAATGCAATATAGTTGTATGGTGTAAGGCTTTTTTACAGACATGTATGGTTGTGACCAATTGGCATAAGCAATGTAAACATGTATTCAGAAAAAAGGTCATCTCCCACTTTGTAAATAGCCACAGTTCAAAGTTTATATAAGTAGATGGTGGAGTGTTGTGGCTGTCTAACAAATCGTATTATTTCTATACAGCTTAGAGCCACCCATGCTTCTTATTACGAAATGAAGCAGACTTAATCAATCAAGGACTGGTTTATATAGCTAAACTGCATTGCAACACAACACTACTTTTCATGTGGGTCGTTGCGCGTAAAATGTGCATTTTGGCACAGTTCGTCTTCCTGCAGAAAGTCACTCATCATACCTTCATGCACCATCCACAGCAGCCCCGTTAGTGGGTCGTGGTCGACAAGGACCACGACCCCCCCATTCTCCAGACCGAGAACGCGTAGCTCAAGCGCTCGTGCGCCACGTAGCTGCAGCTGGTCCCCCGCGCATCCAGCTCATCGCTCTCCAGCACTTGGCACAGGAAGTCGATGTACCGAGCCGCCAGCTTCAGCGTCTGGATCTTGCTGAGTTTGTCCGACGGGAGGGTGGGAATGATCTTGCGTAACGACGTGAACGCCTCGTTGAGGGACTGCGTCCGTTGCCGCTCGCGGACGTTGGCCATGACGCGCTGCGTCTGTAGGTCGTCGAAGGAGGGCGCGGGGCTGCTGCTGGTTTCGCTGTCGCCGCTGCCTGCGCTTCCACCTCCGGCGTCACAGCTCTTCCTGCACTGCTTCTTCTCGGGGCTCGGGATCTCAATGTCCTCCTCCTCCTCCTCCTCGTCGTCGCCCGCGCGCCTCCGAGTCGCCCGCCGCTTCCTGGCACCCCTGCGCGGCCGCTGACGGTCGTTCTCCTCCTCGCTGTTCCCTGCACTGTCCATTGGGGAGGAGTCCTCTTCCCGCATAGTCTCTTCCAAACAAGTTTCTATCGTATGTGGGAGCGCAATAACCCCTGAGCCAGATTCAAAGAACTGGTCACAACATCAACAGACTCGACAGGTAATACGAATGGCGGCCTGCGAAGGAGAGTGGACACTACGGAGAGGTTTCTGCTAGACTGGAAGGACCGGGGCTCTTATAGCGGGGATAGCGGGCAGGAGGATTTGGGGGAGTGCTGTGATTGGGCGAGGAGGGGTGTAACACAACACTGCAGAGGAAGGAAAGTTCGAGCTATAATATCTGAATTGTGTTTAAGACTCCTTAAGGATGCTGCAAGGTTGCGCATGGGAGTGAATAGTGGTGTAATTGAATCACGGGTGTATATTTTTGCAAGAAAAATAAACTGGTTTTCTGCCCCAAATGCATAATACTCTCTCAATCTTTGATTTATTTTAAATGTTGATAACCGTCAGGGATGATTTGTCATTTTTGCGTAGAATTCCCTTTCTTACCTTTTCCTTTTGGTAATAAACAAAAGTGTAACAGAGAACATAACATAAATCCCCCCACATGTAGGCCCCAAGTCTCCCTGCTCAGGTCTAGACTCTGCCTGAGATGCAGCAGCGGTGGCAGTGAAAGATATCAGACCTACTGGAACACAGGAGGTTGACCCAGCAGGAGGTCTCTGCTCGTATAAGCAGACCGAGGTGTTTATTTTCCCGTCAGTGGCCCCACGTTGAGGTATGCGCTTAAACGGGTCGGACTCCCGCAGGGATCTGGACACCGCGGCTCAGGTTTAAAAGACGGGCCGTCCCAGGGAGCTCTGAGGGCGGATCCGTGCTCACAGCGGGGTCGCTAAAGGCGGTGCACTGCTGGAGCGCAAAGCAAACACTGGAGGTGATGAAGTTGGACTAGGTAAGTGGGGGGAGAGAGAGAGGGGGTGAGTGAGAGAGAGAGAGAGAGAGAGGGGGAGAGAGAGGGCGACCACATGACCACCCAGCTACAGCTTACCACGATACAATATCAGAAATCCAGCAGGGGTCCCTCTACATGTGGTTGAAACTGGATCTGGCAACTTCTGGAGGTGGTCTGTGGTGTGAATTATCCAAAGGGAGGCCTCGCCTCTTTTGAGGAGGTCGACGGCAGTCCCGTTTATAGTCCCGTAACATCCACAAGAGCCTTTCGGGCCTGGATCTCCCTGAAAAGACTCAATTAACACCTCCGTGCTAAAGATAACATCCAGCGTCACGCAGTGAACTTTGATTATGACCTTCAAATCCGATGAGTCTTTAGCCATTTGCACTTGACACGGTAGATAAGGCTTTAAAAAAAAGACTATTTCGGATTTGTTCTCATTCTTTAGAGGGAACTGCACTCACCTGATCAACGTGTGACATAGGTGAGACTGTGTCGCTCTCCAAGGTGCTGAAATAACACCTGGAGCTTCTGTCTCACACGGAGACCTCCCTAAAGTATATAGATGAGCATGTCCTCTAGAACAGCTGATTCAAACACTTTTATAACATCATACATATATCATACAAAAAAATAAAATACTAAAGGTATCAGGGAATTTAATCCGATGATATTAAATGTACAGCAACGAACACATACAATATTGTAGTAATTCGATTTATTTTAAGGCAAAACATATCTTAGGTCACATATATTAGGTCAAATATTTAGAGGATCGGCTCTTAGATTTTTTAGGTCATGTCTATTAATTTATGTCGGTGGCAAAATCATTTCCATTGCCATACTTTTCTGTTTGATAGGAGGATTTGGAACGTTGTCAAATATATGTTTGTTCTCTGGGTTTCAGAAATTGACCCACATCACATTGTGAACAGTAAATTTATAAACGCAATACCATCTCCAAGGGAACAGAGTTCACATTGGACTTCTCGCACTCAGGTGTTCTCCAGCAGGTCCGTCATGAAGGAAATGTAGACGATGGCCAGACGGAGAGTGTCGATGCGGGACAGTCTCTTCTCGTAGGCGAATGTTGGAACTTTCCTCCTCAGTTCGTCAAACGCCTCGTTGAGGCTAAACATCCGCTTCCTTTCGCGCACATTGGCCGCCTGCCGCTGGACCACGGTTATGATCCGCCGGCGTTTGGACCTGCTGTGACGGCCGCGCTCCCCGCGGCTGTAGCACGTCGGCACGCCCATCACGGCGCAGATGCCCGCGGTGCGCGCGTCGTCTTCCAGGTCGCTCCAAGGCGAGTCGCTCAGCCGCGTCTGGTTGTTCGGGCTGCGCGCGTCATCAGCCGCCGGCTCCATCAGGTTCATGTCATTGACAAAATCGATCAACGTGGAGTCGACTAAGTGGCCTTGCATCTCCACTGCTCAGTCCCGGGCGGCGGTCTCGCCGGGAACGCGACGCTTTTATAGCCCGTCTGCGATCCAGACGAGCGCTAAAGTGACGCCAATCAAAGCTCTCAGGACAAAAACAGAAGGAGCATCTCAACAAGTCCAAATGTCTCCAAATCCGGTCACAGCACAACAGGGTGAGATCCTATTTGGCTCGAGTCCCAATACCTTTCCTGCTGTTTTAATAAGTTGCATGTGCCTCCTCACAGTGCGACATCTTTCATGTCCCTGCTACCTCTAAATCGAGTCCATTTCTAACTATGCTCGGCCTGTGAGAGGCTTAAAAAGGCAGAGAGGAGGCCCGGAGGACCCTACCAATTGATGCGCTGTCCTTCCTGGAGGCGCTTAATGAGCTTCTGAAGGACGGAGGCTCTTGACAGAGGGTCATACAGCCTTGTTTGCACTCTCCCCTCTGCTTCAGAGGCTAAATAATGACACTTTTATCACTTAAACAGGCCGGGAGAAGACCAAATAGAACATTCCCTAGCAGTCACTATACACCATGCGCTATTCTGTTGCAAATTAAAGCAAATAACGGTCCGTTTCCATGGCAGGACAGAGTCCACACTGCAGGGACTGCTGAGAGAGACAGGCTTAACTGTGCGCTTTATGTGCAAGTGCTTGGTCACTAACCAGCTCTGCATTGTTGGGAGCAAACTTGTTATTGTTGCTGATGGTGATAGCGGTGATGCAGAGAAAGAGTTGAGCCTGGATGTTTAAATCTGACTATGTTCCTTCGGGTTAAAGCTCAGTGACCTGTTTCCATTTATCACACTTCACTGAAAACCAGAAAAAATTGATACACAATTTCCCACATCTTGACACACTTCGTTTGTGCAGCATACAGCGCATTGTGCTGCAGGGGACAGGGCAACATCATCAGGATTTTTAGCTCTTTAAGTTTGTCCTATGGGAAGACACAGACTCAAATTGTATTTCATCAAACTTAAATTAGGTAGTTTGACTAAGAACACAAGAGCCGATGTGCATATTAATTGAATAGGCAGCGAGAAAGGTCACATTTCATAGATAAACACAAATTCGGTCCAGAACAAAAACACTCTCCAGACTTTTAGTCTCTTGGGGTTAGATACGTTACTCAGGGGTAACTCAAGTGGTTTAAGGAGGAGAGACTGTACTGCTTTAGCAGTTCCTGTTTTGGGGTTTTGCAGTGCTGGTGGAACTCAGTCACGATGACAGATTGTACCAGGCATGGAAAATACTCACTTTCAGCTTCACGGAACTGAACTAAGCAACTGATCATATTAATACTGTAAAAAAGAACTGATCCATGGGGATAAGTTCTGCTTTGTGGTCCCTACTGAGAGGTCAGAGGTTATGGTCAAACCCTGAACAATATACAACTCTGGAGCTTTGCAGAGAGTTGCCATTCATTCAGAGGAAGAATTCATATATTTTTTATAAGTTTATAACTTAGAATTTATTATAAGTTGCAGATAGATGGTATTTTAAAGTGTTTTTAATAAAATAAATGTAACATTTGTTTTTTATTGCATCATGGATTTTAACATTTATTAAAACTCACAGAATGTAATTTTCTCTTTGTGACTGAATAAACAGTGACGTGTATTTCTGCACATTCACTGTACAAAAGTAATGCACCATAATCTGTATACATCTCAATCAATTGATATGTAATCCAAGGTTCAGTACAACCAGGGGAGTAATAGTAGTAGAACAGTATAATGGCATTTATATTTATTTTTATATGTAGAAACTGCTTGGACAGCCATAATCATAAGAATATCGAAAGCAAAAACAACATATAAATATATATACAGTATATATACACACAAGCATACATGAAACCACATGGAAATACATGGACACACGCTTTGAAATTCAATGATTATTCCCTAGTTTAAGATGCTGCATTGCTATCATGCAGACATAGCAACAAACATTTCGAAATGTCATCATATTCTGCGTATAAATGCATAAAAATGCTCTTGGTGGAGTGAACAAACTCTAACAGCAGTCACATACCGGCAGTAACTTTGTGTCTCATGCATTCTTGTTTGGTTATTCCATATACAAAGGAGTGTGAGAGCGTAAGTGTCTGCCTCGTATGCACACTCCAACCCAAGTGTATCTTCTCCATCTCCCAGCGCTGCCTCCTCCTCCTCTTGCTCTCGGATTTTCCCGTCAGGCAGATAAACATGATGGGACATTCCGCGGGTTGCCATAGAAACACTTAGAAAGCACAGCTGGGTGGGAGAATATGAGGTAATCTCACCCTGGGGCTGCTGGGTAAATATTGGTCTTAAATAAGGAGTAAAACCCCAAAAGGGGCACACAAACACACGGGAGACACGCACACACCTAGAGGGGTTTATCGTCAGAGTGGAAACACAGGACAGACCTTCACTTAGAGACTCATAATGGGCCATTTCCTGCTCTGCTCAGTTATTATTTGAGTTTACGAGTTTGTGGTGTGACTTAATGTTTGTGGGAGTAAACAAAGGAGCTTTGACATCAAAAACATCGGTGGTAAACAGAACTTTTGTCAAGAAGTCTGGATGTGGAATGGCCTGGAGAAAAAAAGTATCCCAGAACGGTAATTAATGTTGTGTCTCAGTTCATATAAATTCTGTAAAATGTCTGTAAACTTCACAGAACTCGGGTTAACTAAGTATCTGTTCACACATATACTATAAAAATGTAATTAACTTCTCTTTTGGCTTGTCCCTCTGGGAGGTCAGAGGTTATGGTTGGACCCAGAACAATATACATGTGTTATCAGAGATCCATTTTAACTGAAGTTGTCGTTCCTTCATGACGCTTGTATGTGTCCAGTGTGCTGCTGCAGAGCAGCCAGAGTTGTTCTCACTGAATAAATCTTACTCCTCCTCTGGCTCCGTCCTTCGTTGGGCGGTAGGCGCACTGCCAAATCTCTCCCACCACCACCACCACCACTGTAAATCTGAAACGAGACACTCCTCTCCCGTTCTCCCTTTCTCTCTCCTTGACCCTTTTCTCCCCCATTTCCATCTCAGGAAATGGGGGAGTGTGGACGAACAACGGGTGTGACTAAAGCCAATTTTACTGTGCACGCCTTGAGTGCATTGGCGACACCGTCAGTTTTCAGGGTGTTGCCAATGAGACTAATTCATAGTTGAAAATGTGAGAGGGAGGGAGTCAGCGGGAAGCCGAGGGAGTGAGGGAGATGAGTTTAACTCCTGACCCGTCTCCCTCTTCTTCATTGTGTCACTGGGAATCCGTCTGCCTTTCTTTCCTCCTCCCTCGACACCCGGAGGCCGACTCATTGGGTTCACTCATACCCACCTGCCCCTCCATCCCGCCCTCTGATTAGCTGGACACTTTAGCCGACGGGGTGTGTGTCATGGGGTGTCTACGCGGCCGGGTGGAGGGCTGTGAGAGGTGCACGGGGGGTGGATGTGTGAAAGGTGGGGTTCATATATCTCCCTCCTCGCCCCTTTTGCTCCAAACCTCCCACTCACCCGACCACTGCCTCGAGGCCTCAACTCCTCCTTTCCAAATGAACCTGAAACGCTGAAACGCTCATTGAGGGGTCCCCCCCCCTCCGTCACCCATGTCAGCACCTTGCCTCAGCCCCCTCCAGTCTGAGTAATGTCTGTGTTTATTTTCCAAAAGAAGGTCACCCACTCTCTGCTGTGTGTTTTGAGGGTGCCATGTTTCATTTGTGTTAACGCTCATATTCAGAACTCTGGTGGATGTTTAGAAGTAGGAAAGAATCAGGAACTGAAGCCACCACTTGATGATGATGATGATGATGACGAGATTGTTGATGGCAATGTAGAGGGGCAGCGTGCTCAAAGCACTTTGTCATTTCAGGCTCTTCCACATGAAGGTATATTACTCGGTGTTTTGTTCTTGTGTAAATCTTAACCTCCAGTTTTTTCTCTTTTCAGATTGTAAAAAATATGTTCCTACATGACAGTGTGCCAGAACTGCTGCATTAAACTCATAATGGCCTCCCAATACATTTCCTCTTGTATATTGTTACCAATTGACACTACAAAGGACAGTGTTTGTGATCACATTTAAGTGGAGCTCCACTGTTTAAAGTGATGACTCAGTACAAAAGGTTCAGCTTGAGGATTCTTGGTATTCTTACTCATCAATCAATGTTTTTATTCTAGCTGCATATAAATCCTTTTGAGAAACACATGTTGGAGTCACATGATGCTTAAGAGCTCACTTCTCTGACATGACTTAAAAATAAAAGTTTATATACAAATAAATAGCTACAGAGGATCTCTTTTAAATGGTTGCAAGGCTTAAAACACCATTACAGCTCAAGTTCACACTGACATCAGATGACCAGACCGTATACAGATGATTATGGTTATAATGATTATAAACTACGGCCTTGGTTGATTTCCGATGCTGAACAAGCCTTTACCCATATAGCTTTTAATTTTTTTGCTCTCTTCAGCATCCATCTCTAAACTCATTGGAAGATCTCCGTCTCTCTCTTTTCACGCTGAACACGTTTGTCACATGTGGTCTTTTGTAATTAACGTCACCCTGTTAGCCAGAGTTGGCGGACGGATCACTGAAAAGGGGACTTTCTTTCATCTTCTCGTAGATGACTTTATAAGCGTTTTTCCAGCTCTAACGTACACTTTATAAGCCACCCAGGATTTGCTCCTTCTACTTCTACTTCTTCTTTCCTCCTCTCTTTCCAAAATGGACCTTCAGTCATAAAATTAACATGGATTTAGTTGTGTCCTGGGTATTGTTGTGCCAAGCTACAGGACTAAACATGAGGTCATTTTTTCCAGACGCGTTTGTCTTTTTTTTTCTTCTACCTTTTGGCTTATTTACTTTTCTGTGGTTTTGGAGGAGGTTGCAACTGAAAGTCTGATGATAAGCCGTGTGCGTTCCCCTTCTTACCCCTCCCCTTATTACTCCATCCACTCCATTTCTACTCCTACCTCAAATATAATACCCAAAAGGAACAGGAAGCGGTAAAAACACTTTGCTTTTACGTTTGCTCGTTGTTCCACAGTAAATCCCTGTGTTGACTTTCACACTTATGTGGAAACGTTCTTTTGATTTAGCCTCAGTCTTTCAATGCAAACTAAAAGTCTCTGTGGATGATATTAATGTCATAATAGCTGCATACAGTTAAGATTAAAAACTTATTTTTTTGTTTTACCTTTTGTCCTTTCCATATTTCCCCAGCGCTTTGGGTGTAGGAGTTTGGTCTGAACACTGTCTAGACGTCTGTGAGCCTCCCATTAACTCCTGGTTACATTGAGCCCTATTAATCTTACCGGCCGCGGCAGTCACACACACACACACACACACACACACACACACACACACACACAATTAAAAACAACCATTTAAACTGACAACAAATGAAGCTGGTTTTGTTTCCCGCAGCTCATAAAAAAAGAATATGGTGGACTGTCGGTCTATTATCTGTGAAAAACACAATATTTTAAGAAAGCATCAGCATTTGTATGCATTTCGATGGCTTTTCTAGCGAGAAGTATTTTACTTTCATAATCTTCTACCAGAGAATGTAGAAGACCTTCTGTTTATTAGTTTCTAGTGCACGTAGTTGCAAGGCAATATAAATGAATAGGCCAAAATAAAATGTGGTATTATCATGATTTTGGGGAGAAAGCGTGAGAATACCACGTTGGTCCACAACGTAGCTATTACGCGTTTTGCTGTGAGAGAAAAGCTCAATGGAAGGACAGTACCAGACAGTGAAAAGAAAATGTTTTGTGATTTCACCTCCCACCGAGGAACACACACATACGGAGAGAAGTCCGATGATCAAACCTTTAGATACCTGAGGTAGGGATAACAGGCGTTTGAAACTACACACACACATAGCCTAACACAAGCAAGTGAAATGATGTCCCAACAAACACCCGTGTATCGTTGCCATGGTGACTGAGGGCAGGACTGTGGGTGTCGGGTACCAAGGAAACAAACTAACTATGGGAATCCAACTCTCCAACCAGTACAATGTTTACTTTTGGGGTTAGCTGTGTGTGTGTGTGTGCGCCCGTATGAGCTCGTGTATACACGTGTGTGAACCCCGATCCCTTGGGAAAGGGTTTAATGCCGGAGCCTGTCTGACTCCGTGTGAGGCTTACCTGGGGAAGCATTAAAAAAAAAAGAAAAAAGGAGAGATGCAAAACAGAAGTGCCAAAAAATCCCTCAGAAATGCCTTTGAAAAGGCCATAAAGAGATTTCATGGATGTCAGCGGGCCTGTGAGAGATGGGCCTTGATACGACTCAGGCCGGCCCGCGTCGGAGGATATATGGCCACGGTTGCACGGCCCTGACTGGTGGAATACTTAACGTTTTATGACCCGCTGCCATTTGGGGCTCAGGGACAGCGCAGAGTGCCAAGCACATAACTAATTAGGCCTGGCCGACGGGGCTGTGCGTGGACGGGGATTTGCGGACGTGGAGTGTCCGCATGGGTGAGTCAGTGAGTGTGCGGCATGGGTTGTTACGAGCGTGTGTGTCTGTGCGTCCTGAACCTGAAGCATTGCGTCAGTCAGCCGATTGTTTCCCCATAAAGACTTCAGAGCTTTTTTTTTCCGCGTACGAGCCGAGCGGATTGGAACATTTGACGAAGAGGAGATAGTGTCACGCGGCCAATCTACACACATTAACACTGGCGCACATCACAGGCCGCTCCTCGAGAGGCAGTCAGAGGTGAATGAACAGATAGTCTGGCCCGCTTAACGAAAACAACACTCCTCCTATTGTCCCCCACTCTCTTCTTCTAATCTCCAGTGGACGATCATGAAGATAAATGGCCGAGCATAGATATGAGAGTCCAGTGGCGAGGGAGAGGGGGGCGGGGGGGTGGAGGGGGGGTTGCAGGAGTGGAATGTGTGTGAACTGCACACCGCCTCCTATAAATCAGGGAGACAAGTAGGAGGAAGAGAGAAAGCAGGGCAGTGGGGGGGGATGGGGGAGGGGGGGAGTCAGCGCGAGGGAGTGATAAGGCGGAGGCAAGACAAGATGAATGCGTGGTGATGGAGGGAGGGGGTACAGGTGCACATGGGCCGCGCTGGATTCGGGCAAAAGTCTGATAAAGACGGAGAGGGGGGTGGGCGGGGGTCATGGGAGGACACGCGGTATCAAACATTTAAAGTACACTTGAACTTTTAAGATCACTGTTAAATGTCTTCAGTCTTGCAGTTGAATCGGGGTTGTTTGCAACGACTTTGTGGTCATAAGTACTGTGGACAATACAAACTGAGTTACGCGTCCTCGAAAGTGTAAAATTGTGGTAACATTAACTGATGTGTATTTTGTGTGCGCAAGCAGGGCTCGCCAATTTCAATGAGTTAGTTCACTTACGGCTTAAATCTTATTTCTTTACCGTATTTTAAATAAGTACTTGTAGTTTGTAACCGGGTCTTTAAATGGTCAATTGTTCATTTCCGATTTAAGATCAAACACTAGACGGTTAATGCTGGTCTTAATGCTAAACTGCAGCTTCACAGCGAACATATACATGCGCGACAGGAATCTATGTTCACGTCAAACTCTTAATCTCATTTAATTAACTCTTAAGTTTGCATTTCTGTCAAATCATCGAGGTTTTAAATGGCAGCACAGAGGTGCGTGATCCGGTGTGACAGATAAAGATGAGCAAAGTTAATTGCAGCTCCTTATCTGTCCTCTTTAGGAGAATCCCGATAAGCTCTCCTACTCTTAGCACCTTACAACTAATGAGACCCCCCTCCGAAGGCAGGATGTGTGTGTAAGTGTGTGTGAGGGGGAGAAAACACTAAGATCTTCAGGCAGTCTCTCAGGGCTTTATCAGCTGACACCAACTGGTCAGCATGAAAGAGTTTGTTGTGGGAGGGAATATGTGACAAAGAACAGGAAATCTTTGCATTAAAAACCTTACAGGGAGAATTTCTTCTAACAGATGCATTGCAGAGTTGTATGCTGGAGACTTTTGCAGACCCACCTCTTCTTCAGTTATTTTGAATAAACAAATTATTGGTCTTTAGAAATACCTCTGAATGGAAGCAGGGTGAACAGTTTAAAGAATGAGCATGTTAATTGGGATGATTTAATGTCCATTTCTGTTGGTTTTCAAAGTTCACATTCATGTGAAAAGAAACAACGCAACACTAAAGAAAGATCTAAAAAATCAACCTGTCCTTTTCAGGACAATCTTTTCAGAAGAGTGGATACAGAGAAGTAATATCAACATGTGGCTCTAAAATCAATGCACTACACCAGCCCCTCTACTCTCAACACGTTGTTTAAAAATATGGAGGTTCACATGGTTTCATTGGTGTTTTAATGGCTGTGAAGACGTTTTGCTCCCCCCACAGGCGGCAAAAGAGAGCTGCAATCCAACAACGACTAGTGGGTCAAGTCCGCTTCCATCATGTCATGTGATTTTCCACAACATTCTTCTGCAAGCCTGAACCTCCGATCAAGTGATTTCAGGGGAGCTCAGAAGCTCCTGCTCGCCAAAAAAAAGGCGTTTAGTTGTTATGTCACGCCTGTATTTTCCTCCAGAGCCACCGTTGTCATTTCAATGGTGTCTCACACACACATAATTGAATCTTTTTCCAAACAGAAGATCCTTTTTTCTTCTTCCTACTTCAAGTCACTTTTCCTCTTCTTTTTGGACTTCGGTGGTTCCGGAGCGGCATTTAAACTAGATGTGACATCTAAAGGAGTTTCACGTCTTCTCTTTTTGCTTGGCTTGTCACTGAGGTAACCGCTGGAGTCACTGCCGGGAACCGCCATAGTAGAGAGTTCAACCTCCTCCTCCTCTTCTTTCATGTGTTTTTGCTTCTTCTTTTTCTTCTTCTTTTTCTCACCAGCTTCATCGCCATTCTCTGCCGTGTTTGTTCCGTTCAGCTGCGGTGACGTGCTGCCATCAACTTGGCAAGAGGATGGACTCGTCACACTGTCTTTGAGGATGGTTCTCTTCTTTTTGGGGGTGTTTTTGGAAGACTCCTCGGTGGATTCTGGCCGGTCTTCAGGGACGCCCGTCCCCGAGGCCTCGCTCATAGCCAGCAGCTCCTGCACCCTGAAAGCCACACAGAACACACACTGCGATTAATCGAGGGCTTTACGCACAGCTCTGAAAACATTAAGCAACCAGTTCAAACGACGAAAACCGGCGAGACCAAGAAAGGCGTCAATGTTTTTACTGTTGGATTTCAAATAATTGGAATCTAAATATCTTTGGCAACCCGAAGGACATCATCGGTGTTCTACCAAATGTCTCAGATTTTATAGACTTAACGAAACCAAACACAAGCAAGCTGTATAACAACGTGAAGAATATGCAGTCTTCAACCATCCACCCCTTTCTTCCTGAACCGCTTGAGGCAGGCGGCACGAGTCGGACACTGACAGAAGTAGCGGTCAGAGCGCACTAGCCGAGATGTTCTGATCCAGGAAGCAGACGTGATCAATACGTGTGCTTCTCTGGGAGAATTACCATGCGCAGGACTTTACATCGAGAAAAACAGAGAGCAGATGTTTTGACGCACATCATACACCCGCTACGACAGGTGAACCGCTCGCTTCGGAAATTAGGAGGACAAACTGCTTTGCCTGCAGTACCTTTAATTATTCACTCCATTTAGGAAAAGCGAACGTTCTGTAGTTCCTGGATCAAGAAGAGCTGAATTTTTGAGCCTGCCCGGCGGCTACTTCTCAAATCAAGGTAACGAGAGAACCCAGATTAGTTGCCCCACTCCCCTGTCCAACCACCACCGTCCACACGCACCTGGTCCTCTCCATCCGCCCTCTGATCAGCAGCACCCCCGCAGTGTCGGCGTCAAGAGCGGTCACCTCAAACTCCATCTCCGATCCGATCCTCGGCCCCGCGTCCCGCCATGTCGGCACGGAAACCAGGTTGGGCCTGGGGATGCTGGCGTTGAAGCAGCCGTGCACCAGGCAGCCCACGTGGCCGACCCCCAGTTTATTCACTCTGCCCTGCGGGAAACAAAACGCAGAAGAGATTTAATTAGGTTGCGTAAAAGTGGACCACAAATAAACAACGCAAATGGCTGTGAGGGGGTATTTGGGGTAACAGTAAACCCTACCACCAGTTTCTGTCCATTCAGGGGCTCAAAGGTGATGAAGTTGGCCTCTATGTCCATGTGGATGTAGCCGCTGTCATCGTAGATGTTTCCATGGTGACCCACTATCCTGATGTTTTCATAGGCCACGGGAACTCCTTGTAGACTGAAGAGTCAAACAACAAACACCAAGTTGAATTAGTTTCATAGTGAGCGTGATGAATGCACATCTATGGTGAAATAAGACATGCAGATTGTGATGTAAAATGTGCCTTTTCTTCGACGTCTGAAGACACACTCACAGAAATCATAGCAATTGCTCGATTAATAGCTTTATTTTGTATACTTGCATTTAGGTAGTAGTGAATTAAAGTAACTTTCCACCCAATCACTCAACTAAAAAAAAAAAAAAAAAACTGACGTCTTTGCTAAAAGCAGCCGCGTCATAGGAGAATAGAAGCGTCCGGTGCCGTCACCTTTGGGAGAACTTGAGCAGCTCGGCTTCCAGCTCCTCCTGTATGCCGGTCCTCTTCTTGTTCAGGTACACCGGCGGCAGGGCGACGTGTCTCCGGTGCGCGCTCATGACCAGGCACGAGTACGGCGCCGACATCAGCTCGGAGGCGGCCTCGAACGACGGGATGCAGGAGGCGAAGGCGCCCGGTGCCAAGGACGTTTCGGTCGGTCGGGCTCCGGCTTCGGCGGCGGGTGTTACGGCGGACATGTTCGCGTGTTTTGGGTCGTCTTCAGCGTGCTCGAAGTTGGCCATGCTGTTCGGGGAGACCGGAAAACGGAAGACGCGCTAAATTCCGGTTTGAAGGAAGGCGAAGCAGCTGTAAGACTTGTTTGTATACCGCCGCCTGCCGGCCAGGAGGGGAACCGCACTCAAAAATGAACTAAAAACACAGTGAGGCTCCAGCATAAAAAATGAATCGATTTACCTAATAGCAGTTATGTTGCGTATTTAATGAACACCACTTCAAACAAGAATAAACAGCAATGTTTTGTCCCAATCATATTTTAAAAAAAATAAAGCAATAACTGATTGCAACTCATCCTGTTGGCCTGTATGTGTGGCAAACACCCTTCAGCGGTTAGATTATTAACTAATAGCCATGTAGAAGCATTAAAATATTGTTTGTTGTGGTAGATAAAAAAAAAAGGTTTATTTGTAAAATCTTAATCCATTGCGCTGCTTTCAAATGCAAAGCGCCATTGAAGCCCCCCAGAGGCCGCTGAATGCCCCAGATTCACTTTAAGGCAATTGGAAAAAATGTCCTACTCAATACATATAATCAAACTAAATTGTGTGTAATAAGAGATGATCCTTTAATCCATCATGGTGACATTGTACACACTGCACAGGGAAGGTGGACGATAGGGGCCCACCCAGGAGGAAAAACCTGTGATTCACCTGGTACAGTCACGGCTATAAGAAACATTCACGGACAAAAAACTTCTGGCACTCTTCAGGACATGGTTTTGAAACAAATGTGTTTTTGAAGTGACATGACTGGACAGTGTATTCATGCCTGACATGAATCCTTAATGAAGGCACTGACTATTTGCATGCCCTTTGATAACTGCAGGGTGGGCACCAAGGATGCTGCAAAGCTGTTCATCTGATAAGTGACGCTCATTGATTCTGTATCCTGTTCTCACCTACGGTGGCACATTAAGATCATTAGGGTGACCTGAGGGGTCATTTAGAGCCACTAATGCACGCGCACACTGTCTTTCCCTCACACACACACACACACACACACGCACGCACTGTCTAATATAGTGTTACTGCTTTCTGACAGAGCAGCACCACAGGAAGTCACACTATTCAGCATTTCACACTCACACACACACACACACACACGCACACGCACACACACACATACAATGTAGCGCAGAGATGGCGCTCTTTTAGGGGCCACGGACCACTCCTAACTGCTGTCTCGGTGATACATTGTGACGTGGTTTCTGAGTCGGAAAGAGCAACCAGTGGCTTCTGCATCTGTTAGGGTTAGTTGTCGGAGCAATTGTAAATCTTCATCGGAGGTCACAGCTGTGTTTCTGTCCGTGTGCGTGCATGGGAGTTGGGTGTATGATGTTGTATCCAGTCAAATGTTGCTGAAAAGAATATTGCACTAAATACCACTGAAATAATCCATGCAATATAAGCCATTCTGATTTGATATATGTTTAATTAAATTCACTTTATAAGAAGCATTTATAAAAATATCTTTTCTCTATAGATACAACTATACTAATATACAAGCATGGATATACAATACAGAACATTGCGCATCACTGTATTTCATACCAAACCATTCCAGTATCGGATATACATACAGTTTATATCTCAGGATATACGTTCCATAAACCCATAACGACAGACAGAGGGACTAAATAAAGTGAGACTGAAATTAAAAATTACATTGAGGCATCATTGGAAAAAATCCAATCCTTCACTGCAGATGTTTGACATCCGAATTACGCCCCAAACGGCTGCTCTCCATCCCGACTTTGGTTTCAGTATTTCTTGGATATCCATCTAGGTTTGAACCTGTGTTTGCATAATCATTCAGAAGCACAAACGCCTCCCTCTTGCTTTCAAAATGTCCTGCTTTCCATCCGACGGTAGAGAAAAAAAGGTTTCAAGCTGAGAGACCTGGCTTTGCTCTCTGCACCCAGGATATAGTAACAAAGAACCAGCTGTCTTACAGCAAGACATTTGTGAACTGTCTTTGTTTCGGTGTGTGCAAGACGCCCCTCGGTGGCACTTAGTCACGGTGATGCTGGGGCGTGTCCGTTGTAGGAGATCTGAGGAATGCCGTTGCTGGAGTTGTCCAAGATCTCCTATTGGGACACACACACACACACACACACACACACACACACATACAAATACACTACCTTAGCACACACTCCCCAAACACAAACTTCTAAATCCTCTTAGGTGATGAAAGACACATTTTCCATAAAATGTTCGAGCCAAAGGCCACACTGCCCGACAAGCCCCTGCTCTCGCCTCCCACCTTCTCGGCCATCTCATGCGAGTGGTGTAGCGAGTGTTCCCGCTCAAGGAACATCCTCTGCTGCTCCGAGCTCGCCAGACGACAGGTGAGCCACGTGGATAAGGTGCAGGAGGAGATCCCTGGGAAAGACACGGAGGAGGGAAAGTCGCTGAAGAAACGAGGGATAGTTCTTTATTTTAAGGAAACAGTGGGCTGTCTCATCATTTGCATCTCATGCTGTCTTAGCCATGCTGGTGTTGTGCCTCGCTATGTTGCTGGGTCCATCATTTAGTTAAGGTGCAATTAACAGTCCTGACAAGTTAAAAGCTTTACTTTTTATTCGAACCATTGTATATAACTATGCTCTTTAAAAACAATCCTACGTGCTTAGCGTGTGTGTTCAGCTGTGTTGCATTTCGTCACTTTGTAGCGTCATGTTTACCCAGGCAGGCCAAAGTCATGGCCGCCAGATGGATGGAGTGCATGGAGTCTGGTCGTTTGTTCAGCGCCCGGACAAACTGGAAGTTGAGAATCCCACCAATCAGACCACAGATACAGCAGGCCGAAAATAGTATCATCTGAGGGACGGACACGGAGAGAACGGTTAAAGTTGATGCAAATAGCAGAATTTATATCTTATCAAGACAACTGCAAGCTAACTGTCAAAATGTGATCCACTGTCTCTTTCAGAAGTATTGCACCGCTTAAATAAACTGGCATCACTTACTTGTTTTTGTACTTGTGCGTGTGTTAGATGGTTGGGGAGGTTTACTTTCAGTATTTAATTAATCATGTTTTATGGATTACCTCCTTAGAACAATAAAAAAGCAGTTGGACAACAACATCTGATGGCAAAAAGACCACAGTTTCCGGTACTTCTCAATCAAAATAATAAAATACAATCAATTTAATTCAACTCTGCGTCTATTTTGCATGCACGCACGTTTGTGTGTGTCTATTGTGTCAGGGGTTCAGGTTCTCGCTTATTGCTGTAAAGATGCCTTTAGTGCCTTCAACTATATGGAAAAGGGCTTCTCCGATTTCAGTCATTACCCGGGGAAGTGTGGAACGCGGCTGGCAGGACTCCGGAGCCAAACCAACCTAATGCAATCATCACCCCCTCAGGCAAACAAGGAAAGAGGGGATGAAAATAGACGAGGAGAGGAAGATGGAGAGAGTGAGAGCATTTGAAAAAAATACGACCGTGGAGGATTAGATTCAACAGAGAAGGACGAGAAAGATGAAAAAAGGAAAGTGACGAGGTTGAGGATGGCGACGCGCGGCGATGGATGGGGATGGATACGGTGAGACAGAGGGAGAGAAAAGGTTGAGGGATGTCTCTGTTACAGCAGAATGTGCTGACATTGATCCGTCGTTAGCGCCCCCCTCCCCGCAGGAGACAGAGGGAGTCTGAGAGAAACACGAGGACTCGGACACAGAGAGACTGCGACGGGATCGCCGAGCAGAGAACGACAGAGAAGAGGAGAGGTGACTGCGCGTCTCCTCTGGTTTCCCTCAGACGGCTTTCTCAGAGTACACTGTACGCACCTGCAGGGCCGAACAACGGGCGACAGGTCTTCCAGATACTTGTGAACTTCCAGACAGCGGGCAGTTATCTTAGCTTAGCTCAAACAGAAAAAACACGAGAACAAAACTCCAGCAACAGTTTATAGAACAACAAACCAATCAAGTGCACTTTAGGTGTTGCTGGAGTTTAGACCTCCTCTGACTTGCTGCTTTCTCAATGCCCGTTGAAAGTAAGGAACATGTGGCAGCCCACGGGCGCAGCACTCTGGACAGCGCCTCAACAGAGCAGCACCAAGGGCAGGGGCACCAACGAGCAAGAGGTCAGGTGGCCAAAAGGGGAAACACCCCGCCCCCTCAGGAGACAACGAGCGGCCCAGGTGCAGCTCGTAAGGCTGATGAAGGTTGGCCACACTATAAAAGACCAACCAGCCCAACGGCCTGGCAGACAAGACGTGAGTAGAAGCTGGCTTCACGGTGAGGTTTGGGCGCATGTTAAAGCCTGTTTTTTGTGCTTCCTGCAGAAAGGGGACTGAAGGCCGAACGAACCCTCTGAACCGAACCCTCTAAAGAGGAAGAACCCATTTTTCCCTAAATCGTACCCTTTTCCTGTGCAACTAGACGTGTATCTGAGTCCGGTGATTCCACCCACACCCGTTGGTTGCCACAAACATTTCCCCAGAAACCCCTGCTTCATATTTGGATATTTGGATAAGTGTGGATTTATTCCTTTAAAATGGGTTTGACTGTTTCATATAATCGTGAGGTCCGTTTGCTGGAGCAGGAAAATGCCATTTATAGAATGAGACCAGAAACCCATACTAAAGGGCAATAACGAAAGGCTAGTGGGAAACAGAGGACCTAAATATCATGCACTCACAATAAGACCTGTCCTCTTGCGAGCACACAGCAATCCGCACATCCCACAGACCAGAAACTGGAAAGAGAGAGGGAACAACAAACAAGTAAATAAGCAGTTTCAAAAGTTGCAGTCTTAGGAAAATTTCTGGTTAGGAAAATTATATTTAATTTAATCTATTTGTATTCCTCCCCAAGCTAACGACCGGAAAAGGGTGAACGTGTTCTTTACACTCTGTGATTCAGATGCAACTTTCTCCCTCTAAAAATAGAGCGAGTCTTCTAGCAGGAAGCCACGTTGTCCTGGATGTCAATGATTCAGACTGAACGGGAACAGCGCAGCGGCGTATTGCGCTGGCAGAATAAGCTGGGGTCGTTTAATAAGATGCAAGCTGCATTGTTTTGCTGAAAGTTTCTGCAAGAGTGATTCAATCTTGTTTTCCAATTCTGTTTTTTTTGCTTTTAATTTGCAGTGTGAATGATGTTTTTAATCAATGTATTTATTTTGAGACAACCTGAAATCAACTTCAGTTAAAGTTAAGAGCAAGGAGCACTTACTATACAGAGCTTTCTGCCGGTGGCCTTCTTCAGTGGATGAAGTTCAATAGATTACGTCTGGACAAAAAGATCACTGAATAGAACTATTTTTGTCCAGTTACTAAATTTCATAATTACATTATTAGACATAAATAACTAATCACGTGAGGGTTTTCAGTTTCTCAGTTTCACTTCTACATGATTTGTTTTATTCCTATAAATAAAAGCATGTGATACATATAACGTTTTTTTCTCCTCATGTGTCAATAAAGGCAAATGTTAAGGACTGATTAAATAAAGTTCGGCCTTTTAATTTAGTTAACAATTTTGGAAATGATTTAAAGTAATTCAGTTACATTAATGTGCAAAGAAACATAATTCCTGACAAATTTAAGATGTAAGCGAGGATCCCTTTTACAGAAGAACGTTTGTTACCTACGTCAAGGATGGCGTACAACAGTGTAAATTACCAGTTTTGGTAATTGTAAAGGTTGTGATAACTAACATTTGGGTAATCACAAGTCACAGCAGCTAAAGAAACAGCTTGCAGCCGTGAGGTTACAAACAAGCCTGTCATGTTGCATGTAACAGCTTTGCAGACAGACAGACACAAACACAAAACCTGCCTTACCTGCATTGAAGTACTTCAAACAAGGTTGTATATGTGAGAATTGTGAGTATCAATGACAAAGAGTCCGAGAGAGAGTTAGTGATTAATATTAGATAAACAAGCATCAGTATGAACAGAACTCAATGTTGTTGGCTTAAATATAATAACAAAAAAAGTTTTTCCTGTGCTCTCTCGCACACTCAAAAATGTAGCTTAACAGAGTCTTCAACCCAAAAAAGCCTGAATTTATGTTGAATTATGTGGTTATTTAGAGCTTCATTTTTTTCCATTGTTAGATAAATTAGATTTGATGGATTTCTATGAAACACAAAGTTAATATCTTACATTCAAAAACATAACAAAACAACAGTAACCCTTAGCAGGATGGCTTTACATCTCATTCAAAGGTGGCATAGAAGATACTCATCCTCCCTGAAAGTAGATAAAGATCAAGTTCGGTCAAAGGTTTCTCTACCGGAACGTACACAGAGTCCGCTCCACACCGGGGACGCGTCGCCCTGCTGCGGCTTGTGGTGGCCCCGGACCCAGCTGATGCCAACGGCCCCCAGGACGATGCTCGCCACGCCGAGTCCCACCTCCACCACGGACAGCAGGAGCAGGCTCCACAGGATCTTGCGGCTGGAGCACATCCTGCCCCGGGCATCTCTCCAGCTGCAACAGGGGGCGGGCGGATGGGCGAGAGGGGAGCCCGCTTCCCGGTGGTCCGGCGGCGGCTCTGCTGCTTCGTTATGCCCGGCTAGAAAAAGAGGGGTTATCCGTGAAGAATATGTCCGAAATGGAGTCCACAAAGCCGGAGGAGGGAAAGCTGGTTCTGCACTTGCGATGTTGGTGTTTTTTTAAAGAGAGAGTTCCTCTGCTTGCTGAAGTGCGTCTGCCTTGCCGGACGCTGTCCAAGGTACTTTACCACCACTGCAAACACACACACACACACACACACACACACACACACACACACACACACACACACACACGCGCACACACACGCGCACACACACGCGCAGACACACACGCGCAGACACACACGATCCAAGAGACCACGAGTCTCAGCCTCCGCCCACATGGGGAACCAATCAAACTCCATAAAGTCGAAAGTCGTCATTGTTGATACAAGGATGGAGTTAAACATTGTGACTTAAAGTAAGGTGAGCACTGAAACGAGTGAGCACTGAAACGAGTTAGGTAATAATAAAGAACAGGATGCAAAGCAGAATCAAATAAAATAGGATCAAAGCTTAAATGGACTAAAACTAAATAAATTGAGTAATGTGAATGACAACTTTTCTGGGAGTTTTGAGCTACGAAGTGAGTGGATCAAGTAGCACTGAATTGGGATTATAAAACTCCATTACGCATCAAAGGGGTTTACTCAAAATAGATATTTAACAAAAAACGTATTTCTCAGTTGCTTTCTGTCAGTCAACCAGCTCAATCCGCTGGTCTGATGGTATCTGGATCTCTAGGTCGGCAGCCCTATTCAGTCTATCCGGCAGTCGACTGGATTTCCTTGTGCTTGGTTGGAATAACATAGATGTCTGCTAGAGGGAGACATCACACCTCAGAATGAATGAAAAAAAGGTAAACAAATGGGTTTATTAATTGAAATGTCACCAAACACTATTAGGCTGAGACTGAAGACGAACACCGGCACACAGGATATCTGCAATTAACCATCATAGATCCAAAAACAGGGTTACAAACAAGAGAACAATTGGTATTATCAAAAAGTCATTTAGTCGCTTATACAGTGACAATGAATGAGTGACCGATGTGAAAGAGTTTCTAATTCAACGACCTGTAAAATAGAGCTCAGTGGTGGATCTATATTCTCTTTCACTTTTTGAACTTAAAGAACAAATATTATATATTATGGCCCTGTTGAATTGAAAAAATAAATAAAAGAATTGCGAATAAGACACAGGGCTGTTTTCCTTGTCATTAAAAGCTTTGGAGATACCTTCAACCATGAGAAAAGCCAAGAGTTGCACAGATTCTAAAGACGACTGGTATTCCTCTGAATAGATACTGATTTGTGTTGTCAAACGTTTCAGAGGAATAATAACAGTGTTACAATGAGAGCCACATGTACAGATCAGGTACAGCTCTGTAATTCCTGTAAATACTGACGTGAAGACAGGCCTGGCAGATGGCGTGTGCGAACCTGTGCTTCTCATCAGTAGGATGACGTCTCGCAGTGAAGAATTGCCGCCAATTAAAGTATCTCATATAAGCCTCATTGTCCTTATCCAGCTTCTGGAGGAACTGAGCTAGTGCTAAGGCATCAGGAAAGTCGTTTACATGTATGAAGGACGCACTATGGACATAATCCTCATAGTTCTTTCTCGGTGGGCCCAAAACTATCGGCACAGTGCCGGCCGCGAGAGGTCCATTGAACGTTTCTGTAATGTAGTCTCTGTTGATTGAACTCTCAAAGGAAAGGTAGAATTTGCAGCTGCTAATAGTCCGGAAATAGTTGTCGCCTTTGACAGAGGAGCTGTGGAAAACATCTACCTTGATGTGTTTTATTAGCTCTCTGTAGTAGCTGTATCTCTCCCCTGACTTTGTGACGAGGTCTTCATCATCCACAATCCAACAAAGCAATCGTTCCTTTTTGGGCAGTACAAAATCTCCATCTGAATTCTTCTTCTGAGTAAGTTGCCAGCGGACCTGGATATCCGCATCCTTCCTGTAGCTCAAGGTTAAGTTAAAAAGGCCTTGGACGCCTTCTATTCTGCTCGTGTTTTTGTGAGTGCCGTTGTTGAACCAGATCCACCTCTGGAACTTTGGGCGAGGTGAGGTGGGAAGGTTGGAGAGGTCATCCTGAATAGCCGTGTGAAACACCAAGACGTTATGAGCTTTGGAGTATAAGGATCTATCGTCTGTGAGGGTGCAGTCGTCAATCTGGAAAAGCGTCTTACAGTCTTTGAAGTCAAACCTTTTGTTTTCAGGCCAGAACCACAGCAGCATGAGAGGCTTGTCTGTCTTTGCGGACAGTTGATCTGAATGAATCGGAGGAGGCCGACATTTTGGAGATGGAGATGACCGCCAATACATCAAAACCAGGGCTACGCTTCCAGCCAGGAAGATAATGCCTCGTAAAACATTAAGGCCAGTGGCCATTTTACACCTGTAAGAAGAGAGGAATTCCTTTAATCAATGGCAACACCCACAGGAATGTTTTAATTCTCAAAGAAGTAGCAGAGAGAGAGTTCAAAGAAGTAAAAAACACACTAGCAGGTATGAAGTCATTCACATAGAGCTGTATTTATTTGCGATATCAAACGTGAACAAATGTAAGCTGGTGACCATAATATAAAGCTACAGGGTCCGTATATTAAGGACCTTGAGGATATGATTTGACAAAACATTCGATGAACAGTGAAAACGGTTTTGTGATCACCACTTGAATAAAACATTCTGTTTCTCACCGTTGTATGAGGACCGAGTATGTCGGCTCGAGGTCTCTTCCTGGTGTGCAAGTAGGTCAACTGCCGTCGTCGCCCTTTGAACAACAGGTAACCGTCTGTAGATTGATGATAGTGATCAGATTCACAGTGTCGTCCACACAAATAGAATGAACAAACTGCTCAACAGCCCATGTTAAAGTTGTGTCCTCTGAGCACAGATGGAAAACCTCCCCCGCAAAAACAAATGGGAGCCAATGGTTGATTACAAAGTGGATATTCGGGTTCAACGAGTCAAACCTACTTCCTTCAGATGTCCTGTAGAACAGAGTACAACCTTCTGAAAAACGTGTTGTAGACGAGTGTAGAAATGATTGTATTCAGGGCTGTAGTGGAGGGTAAACGCACGTAAACGCCGTTTACGCACCTCTGGAATTTTGGAAATAGCGTTTACGCACCTATAAATAGCGTTTATGCACCTATAAATAGCGTTTACGCACCTCAAAGTTCCTTGCGCCTTGTATTGGAATAATCCGAAATAAACTTGGTGTAATTATAAAACAGCTAAGACTACGTTTCCTATTGTTGAACATATAAACGCCGTAGTCTGAATCCTTTTCATCAGCGCCGTATTACGGTCTGACCATCCAATCAGTGCCTTGCGGCTGCAGCAGCGACCAATCAGGATCCAGGAGGCACACACGTTGTGGATCAGCCCAGCGGTCCCCAACCTTTCTTATCTCACGGACCGGTTTCATGTCAGACAATATTTCGCGGACCGGTCGAGAAGGACCGACGGGGGGGGGTGTAGTAGTCGTTGCTGGCGGAACGACCGACGGGGGGTAGTCGTCGCGCGCTCTGTGTTCGCTGGGCGTGCACGGTAAAAGGACAAGAAAAACGCCTGGTGACGCGCGCACATAATTAGGAGAAAATCCAGTCAATGTTCAAAGGCTCTGCCTTCCCTGTCATCATGAGCGGGGAGCAAAGCTGTTGCTTCACTAAATAGGCCTATATGCGTAATCAATTATTTGAAGTCATGAAAGGTGTAGAGTAGCCTGTAAGCGTTAGAAAACAAGTCAGTTCTCAATGTGAAAACAAAACATGCTGTAGGCTATTTATGATGACATAGGTAGTACATGAGTGTTCCTTTAACTTATGTTGTCAGTGTAATTGACAGGCTGCTTAACTGGTTAACTCTTAAATTCAACATATTTTTTCAGGCAGTGAGAGGACAGCCAATGATGCAGAGAGCACATGAGAGGAGAAACACCAGGTACAATAGAGAGAAAAGCACGGGTTCATGGCTCCTTTGTGCAAGGCAGGACCTGACGTGGAGGACAAGGAGGCCCTCTGGGCACTACTGTAAAAAGGAGACTCCGTATGTAGATAGTTCTTAATCTGCAATTGTCTTGTTGTGTTGACATACTTTTCTTTACTGTTTTCTTAAATTTAATAAACTACTAACACATTTATTCATTGTCATTGATTGTATATGACTTTTACTGATAACATAATGCAATATAGCCAGGACAGCCTTACAGAGTCGCGACGCTTTGTGTTGCGTTGCTTCGCATCGCGTCGAGGTCTGTATGATCACAAAATTCAGAGTTTACCCACCTCTAATTTTACCACTACAGCACTGATTGTATTTAACTCCCTCGCAACAGCTAAAAAGTTAAATAGACCTGCATGATTCATCTCATCCTTCCTAAATGAAATACAAGATAATGGGTGAGATAATCACAGACAACTGCAGTTAACGTGTTGAATAAACACATAAAAGGATACAGAAGGCTGGCAAAAAAAGACATCCATGTGTAGTTTTTTAGATAGATGTATAGTTTATTCATCCCCCGGGAGGGGAAGTTGCGTGTAGCAGCAGGTGAGGTTACATTTTAGACATAAAGGACGTAAAAGTATTCCGGATGGAATTAAAAAGGCTCAATATATACACAACAAAATAATGGTCCAGAACATATTCAATTAAAATTTAAGAATTAAATAGAAAAAACGAGTGCACAAAATACAACTATTTGTATCTATCTGGAAAGACAAATCGGTTGTAAACCACAGGTGCGGTCACCAGCTTGACAGGTAGAACTCGATCTGTGCCACTTGTCCCCCACACTGCACTGCCACACTACATTTACCCATTGTCTGCGGTCATGAACACACCTCAAAGTCAACATTTCAAAAGGACACGTTGCAACTCCAAAATGGAGTGTGAGCAGTGTAAGCTTGTTGAAGACCATGTTTTGAAAGTTCAAAGCATTATAGGCTTTGTAAGGAACAGGGGATGTCCACAAAGTGTAATGTGAGTCCAAGAGACCTCTTTACTGTACAAACCTTTGCGAACAGTTTACAGTTGCTTGTTCAGTATAGTTTACTTCACCTGTTGAAGCAGTATAGTATAATAATATTGTGTATATATCCATCCCCAAGATGGTCACATAACCAAGGATCTGGTCATGTTTGTGTATGTGTTTATCTGTTTTACCAGGACACCAGTATATTTTATTTAATCATTTAGTCCCCACATGACTAACATCATGTGCATCCCCATCGATCTTCTCCCACAAGGTGGTTTTGCAAAAAAAACCCTGACAAGCTGAACACAACCTGACAAAAGCCTCTTTATCTGCATCTCACCTGGTCCTACTTGTTCATCTATCAGCAAGGCACAAAGAGGGACATGCCAGAGATTAACATTGTGAAATGTGCTTTAGCTTCAGAAAACACACTGAACCTTTCAGTGAGGGAGGACCACAGGTTGAGAAAGTAAGAGTTTGAAGGAGGTTATCAATGTTTATGTTACTAATATTAACAAAAGAGGCCGGCGTGGTGGTCAGCACTGTCGCCTCACAGCAAGAAGGTCCTGGGTTCGACTCTGCCCAGTGGCCTTTCTGTGTGGAGTCTGCATGTTCTCCCTGTCTGCGTGGGGTCTCTCTGGGTACTCTGGCTTCCTCCCACAGTTTCATGCCTCGGGTGCTCCTGGGTTAACTTTACTTCCGGCCTTGTCCTGTCATCTCCTGTGATTGTCTGCCGTGTCATGATTGTTTCCACCTGTGTCCAATTACCTGCACCTTCCCAGTGCATTTAAGCCATGTGTGTCTCTTGTTCCTTGTTGCGTCATTACTGAATGTTTTAGTGATGTGTCAGTCGTGAACGATTCGTTCATTTTGAACGAATCCTTACAAGGACTCGAGAGTAACCAGTCCAAAAAAAGATTAGTTCATTTTCTCGTGGCCACGCATCGGGACTTGCATAGGCTCAATGAACGAACGGGACTTGCATAGGCTCAACAAAGGAATCATTGACTCGAAGGCTCGGTCGGGAGGTGAATTTCTTATCATGATCTTATCAATCATCTTATCTTACTACCACCCCCCCCAGTCAACGAATGACTCGAAAAACACTAGAATGTTTTTCATGTTATGCCTGCTTGTGATTCCCCTTCGTGTCTTGTGAGTACTTGGTCCCCGCTGCATTTTTGCTTTTGATGATTAAAGTCTTTTTGTTTTCAAACTCTGTCTGTCCACCTACCCGTTCCTGACAGATTCTCCCTTTTAGTCTTCAAGATAAGATAATTTTCTAAAAGAGGGCCAATATATTCCATGACTAATTACTTATTACTAACATTACTTAAAAAACACCAGAGATCCCCAATTATGTTATAAAAATCTGTAAAACAGTGTTATGTGCTGGCCTATTAGAATATGCAGTCAGGCTAGCTGCTGTCTACATATTCAGCAGCAAGATAGCTATATAAATGCAACGTGTTCATTTTCAATTTGTGTGTGTGTGCATACAAAAATACAGAGACTATCACACTTTAGGATTGCAAAGCAAAGTATTTGAATTCCTCCTAATTCTTCTGCCTCTGATTTATGGGTATTGTAGTTTTAAGGCTTGTCTAAGAAGCAAAAATTACGGATAAAACATTTATCCAAGACTACCCTAAAAAACTTCCACAACAGTTTTCAGCAAGTGACTGCTTCGGTTTGGAGAAGCTTTAAACACCTCACAAACTACAAGCCCAAAACCCCGCCCACTCCATGAATGACCTCCGCCTGGCAGACGAGCTGAACAAGTTCTACTGCATATTTGATAGATGTCCTGACTCCATCCTCCACAGCTCCATCAACCTCCACCTGACAAAAGTCTCTCAGCTTCACATGCCCGACTCCACCTGCAAGTGGATCACTGACTTCATGTATGACAGGAAGCAGCACGTGAAGCTGGGGAAACATGTCTCAGCCTCTCGGACCATCAGCACCAGTTCCCCTCTTCGCTCTTTGCCCACCGCTCTTCCTGTACACCATCAGCTGCACCTTCTCATTGGACTGATCTCTGGTGGGGATGAGTCCGCCTACAAGTCTGACCATCTGGTGACGTGGTGCAACCAAAACAACCTGGAGCTCAACTGCTGGGCGGGTCTTCTCAATCCTCCAATCATGAGTGGGGGATGTCACAGCCTGCTCTGCATATATTTAACTTACACACATGAGGTTGCCGACGGCAGCCGTAACAGACTCCCCCGTCACAGCTGTGGATTCCTTCACCAAGAAGGCTCAGCAGAGGCTGTTCTTCCTGAGGCAGCTGAAGAAATTCATCCCTCCAAAGACGATGATGGTGCACTTCTACACGGCCATCATCGAGTCCATCCTCTGCTTCTCTATCACCGTCTGGTACGCTGCAGCCACAGCCAAGGACAAGGGCAGGCTGCAGCGTGTCATCCGCTCTGCAGAGAGGGTGATCAGCTGCCATCTGCCGTCCCTGCAGGACTTGTTCGCTTCTAGAACCCTGAATTGAGTTAAAAAGATTGTTCCCAACCCCTCTCACCCCGGACAAAACCTGTTTGTGTCACGGTGTGGTTCACTTCCTGTTGTATTTTGTAGTTTTCTGCCACTCGTGTCCCCGGGTAACTTCACTTCCTGCCTTGTCCCGTCATCCCCTGTGATCGTCTAATAGTTTCCACCTGTGTCCAATCACCTGCACCTCCCTTGTGTATTTAAGCCGTGTGTCTCCTGTGTCACTTGTCGCGTCATTGTCTCTTGTTGTGGATGTCTGTAGTTTCCGGCCTGCTGGTTTTCCTCCCGGTTCCTGTGTTTTTGGCTTTTGACTATTAAAGTCCTTTTTGTTTCCCGCAAGTCTGCGTTTGAGTCCTGCCTCCCACCCGCGCCCCAGACAGAATGACGCGACCAAGAAAGGAAGTTTTTTCCCCTGGACGAGTTCAGGGGAACCCGTCTGGCAATGGGCGGTCCCAGGAGTCTCCAGCGGGCTGCTCGTAATGGGGGAACGGTCCTCCCGGGGGTTCCAGCTGGGTACCTGTACTACTCCGTCTCCCCATCTGGAGCCCTCAGTAGGCATCTGGGTCACCATCCGCCGCCCACCACATGGTCCCCAGAGGAGGAGGCAATTTCGTGGTCGTCCGGCAGCGATTCTCACTGGGAGCGGGTAATGGACCTTGCGGTCCGACTCCAGGCCTCCTATGCTCCCCACGCTCGGCCGCAGCGCACAATGTCCAGCGCTGGGCCGCAGCGACGTCCCGACCCCGCTCGGTCGCAGCGCACAATGTCCAGCGCTGGGCCGCAGCGACGTCCCGACCCCGCTCGGTCGCAGCGCACAATGTCCAGCGCTGGGCCGCAGCGACGTCCCGACCCCGCTCGGTCGCAGCGCAAAATGTCCCGCGCTGGGCCGCAGCAGATTCCCGTCCCGGCCCTCCTGACCCAAGCCCATGACCCCTGATCCGACGCCACGATCCAGGTCCACGACCCCCGAGCCAGCGCCACGATCCATGCCCCCGACCCCCGAGCCAGTGCCACGATCCATGCCCCCGGTACCGGCCCCACGATCCATGCCCCCGACCCCCGAGCCAGTGCCACGATCCATGCCCCCGGTACCGCCCCCACGTTTCATGCCCCCGACCCGACCAGTAACGCCCCCACGTTCCATGCCCCCGACCCGACCAGTGCCGGCCCCACTTTCCTTGCCCCCGACCCGAACTCCGACTGCCCCAATGGCCATACCCCCGACCCAACCAGTGCCTGCCCCCAGTCTCAGACTCACGACTCCGACCCTCGCTGCCCGCATACTCCTCGCTATGACCCCGACTCTGGTCGTCCCCCACCCACGAGTTACGGGCTTTATCCCCGTCCCCTGTTTCCCGCTCCCTCCCTCCTGCTGATGGTCCGCTCCCAACCTCTGGCTGTTGATTTGAGGCCCGTCTGCTGTTGATCCCTGCGGTCCCTCTGCGTACAGCTTTTGATGAGCAAAGTCCTTTTTGTCCCCGGCAAAGGTGCATTTGAGTCCTGCCTCCCACCCGCGCCCCTGACAGTTTGTGCCCCTTCCATCTGGCAGGAGGCTGAGGTCCATCAGGACCAAGACCTCCCGCCACATAAACAGTTTCTTCCCGTCGGCAGTCAGGCGCATAAACAAAGCCCGAGTCCCCCACTGACTGACTCTAACATCCCACCGGTGACTCCCTTCACACTCCACATGCACATAAACATAAATTGTCACTTTCTGTTAGCTGGTGCACTTTATTTTTGACTTTTTTCAACTTGTATTCCTTTATTTTTAAACTAACCCATAGTATTATATTTTATTTCATTCCTGTTGCACTATGTTGTCTTATCGGTCTTGTTGTCCATTGTCAACTGTCTGCTGTTTTGCATCAACCGCCAAGACAAATTCCTTGTATGTCTGACATATTTTGGTATTACATGTTCCTGATTCCTTATAGGTTAATAGAAAATGGTGTCCATAACATACAAAATGTTGTCCATAACATAAAGCTGCAGTGTCATTACATTATCCAGGACAGCAAGGATATGTTTTGACAAAACATTTACTGAATGGGGAAATGCTTCTTCCCCTGCCTCAGTACTATTAGTACTTTTTATTTTAGCCAATGCAATTGCACGTTGTTGTTGGACCATAAAGAACGCATTACTTCAAAAACCACCAAGACTTTCAAGTTGTGACAGTTATTTAGCATTTAAAATATTTTTTAAGGTAATATGATTCATTATAATATTAATATGAATTAGTATAGTGAACGAAGGCCAGAACAACAGCAGTAGAATAGATATCCCAAAAATAATTACTTTGTATTGCTAAAGTTTTAGAGATCAAACCGTCAATATTCACATCACCACTGAATAAAATATTCCTTTCTTACCGTTTTAGGTGGTGGGCCAACTGTGACAGCTGTGTGACACTTCAGCACAGTCAAATACCTTGGATAACCTTCCAAAGTCAGCGAGAAAATACTGTTGTCATACTTTGAAAAACCTTCTGTAGATGGATGATTGTGATCAGATTCACAGTGTCGTCCACACAAAGAATCAATGAACGAACCGCACAACAGCCCAGGTTGAAGTTGTGTACTCAAGCACCTACGTATGGAAAACTCTGCCTGCAAAAACAAATGAGAGGCAAGGGGCGTGTACAAATAGAACTTCTAGTCAAACCTACTTCCTTATGAGCTCCTGTAAAAGAATTTGAGATGCACCTTCTGAGAAATGTGTAGGAGTGTAGAAATGATTGTATTACCTCAGAAGTTTTAGTCTGAATTTTAATCCCCTCTCTATGAACTGCTAAAAAGTTGAATGATCAGTAGATCCTTGTCATCCTTCTTAAATAAAATAAAAACATTTCAACCGTTTGTGGCACACACAACACAATAAGCACACAATTTTTGTGCTGCTCTACAGTCTTATCCGGGGACTCTTCCTTCTCCGTCTCCACATGAGTAAAACCATGTACATCCATATCCATCTGCTCCCACCCTGAGGTGGGTTTGTAAAAAAAGGAAATAAAAGCCAGAATGAACATTTAACACAACTAACACGCTGAACACAACCTGATAAAAGCCTCTTTGTTTGCATCCCAACTGGTCCAACTTGTTCATTACATTACAGGTCATTTAGCAGACGCTTTTATCCAAAGCGACTTACATTACACTTTAAACCCATGGCTTTTTTCACATTTTTGCCTGGGGAGCAATTAGGGGTTAGGTGTCTTGCTCAGGGACACTTCGACATGGAACATGGGGCAGCCTGGAATCGAACCAACAACCTTGTGCTTCCCAGCACACCTTCTCTAACCCCTGCGCCACGACGACCCCATCATCTAGCAGCAAGGCAAAAAGAGGAACATACAAAGGAACTAACTAACTAACTTCAGAAAACACGCTGAATCATTCAGTGGGGGAGGACTACAGGTTGTAAGGAAGAGTTTGAAGGAGGTTATCCAAATGTTAATATTACTAACATTAACAAAAGAACAATACCGGCTAGCTGCTTCTACCTTTTTTTTACAGCCTTCAAGCTAAGCTAATTTTCTAAAAAAGGGACAATATATTCCAAAAATGTACAATAATTCCAGTTCATCACATGTACTTGAAAACAGAATACACTCTGCATAATACTTATGTATTTATCCACATGGTTGAGCAACACCAAGGGACGTTCTCTTTAATGTTTTCATTTAAAGTACCACTGATAAAGGTCGTGCATTACATGGTATTCCCTGTCTCTCGACATGTGTTTGCAGGCGAGGCAGATAGGCTGAATGAATTCATTTTGGGTCGACAGCAGGTGAGGGGTGGCTGTGAAGAACTTTCTCCACTCAAAGTAACGTGCGTACGCCTCGTCCTTCATGTCCAGCAGAAAGGCCGCCAGTGACTTTGCATCGGGGAAATCATTTACGTGGATGAAGGCGTCGGCGGGAAGGAATTGATCATAGTTTTCTCTCGGCGGACCCAAAACTACAGGGACCGTCCCCGCCACGAGGGGCCCGTTGACCTTCTCGGTGATGTAGTCTCTGTGGATCGAGTTCTCAAATGAGAGGTAAAACTTACAGCTAGCAATTGTTGAGTAGTACTCATCATAACTTAAAACATTCCCAGTATAGGCTCTACCAAAGACACTGATGTTGATGTGTTTGGATAGTTCACGATAATATTGTTCTCTCACAGCTGTTCCTGTTTGAGGGTTATTGTTACTGACTATCCAGCACACTAGTTTGTCTTTCTTGGGCAAAACAAAGTCCTCCTTCGCTTCAGTCTCTCTGATTGTGAGATCATTCCTCACATTGATGTCAGCGTATCTTCTGTAGCTCAACGTTAAGTTGAACAGGTTGACCAGACCCGGTACCTTCCCTGTGTTTGTCGGCGATTCCACATGGAACCAAATCCACTTCTGAAAAGCTGGACGTGGCTCCTGTGGCATGTTGTCCAAATTCCAGGCTATGTTCTTTTGGTAGAAAATGACTCCATGTGCCTTGCTGTAGAGGGATCTATCATCTGTCAGAACACAGCTATCAATTTCGAAGTTGGTTGAGCAAATTTTGAAGTCAAACCTCACACCGAGGGGCCAGAACCACAGCAGGACTATGGGCTTCTCATTTGGTTTCACGTCTTGATGATTTTCCGCAGGTGCGTATTTAGGGGAACAAACAGGGGACGCAGGCTCTAAATAGAGGAAGAATGGCAAAATAGAGCCAAAGAGGCAGATAGCAACTATATTTGTTATCCACCATGTTTTCTTGGAATCTGGTATCTTCATCTGTGGAAGTAGAGAGTGAAGCAAATAATTAGATATCTACATTATCTCAGAAGCAACAGGAAATAAGAGTTTAATCATCCGTCAAAAAGATCATGACTTTAGATATATATATATATGTATAACATCAGGGGATTGGTGGATAGATCCAACAAAAAGTGATCTTTCAGCCAGGAGACCTCTGTTCATTCCACATGTGTAAATAGAAGACAATGGAGATTCACCTTTCATGTAACGGCGCTTCCATAGTTATTTTAGCTCAAAAAACAATGAAACAAACAAAAGTAGTTTTGTTACCTAAACCTAACTTTATGTGTACTGTAAAGACTGTAATTTATTTTGCAAAGACTGTATCATGTTATGACCATGAACTGGCATTTGTTTACAGATTTGATAAAAAAAGATTTCGAAATTTACTGCATTCTCTTCATTTTCCCTTTGTGTGTGGTTTATACATAAATACAGACACTATCACAATTAAGGATTGCAAGAACAATAGCAAAGCATTAATTCTTCTACCTGGGTATTGTAGTTTTAAGGATTGTCTACTAAGCTAAATTTATGGATAAAGCATTTCTCTGAGACATAGGTGAAATAATAAAAAATGGTCTCCATGACATAAGGGTTATTACGTTATCCAGGACAGTGAGGATATGATTTGCCAAAACATTTAGTGAATGGTGAAAACGCTTCTGCCCTAGCCTCAATATTTCTTTTATTTATCAGTACATTTTTTATTTTAGTCAAAGCATTTGGACGTTGTTGTTGGACCATTAAAGACGCATTACTTTAATAAACGCCAAGACTTTCAAGATTTGTCTAAGGTCAAACAATCAATTCTCAGTTAACATTCATGTGGATGTCGACAACGACAGCCTTAGTACTGCATTCCTTTCATTGTTAGATTCAATAAAAGGAATGCTAGATTCAATTGGTTTCTGTCAGTGTGTAAATAAACCAACTCACTGTTTTAACCACACTCTCGGTGCTTGTGTATGGGATTGGGATTGAACATTTAACAATTTTTCCACAGAACCCTCTCCTGTCGGACCATTGTCTGATGACCTTTGTATTTCTACTATCGGAACCCCCTCCTCCTGCCAAGGGTTTCTACAGTCGACGCTTATCGGATACCGCTGTAGCCTTATTTAAAGAAGCCATTCCTTCTGCTCTAAGTTCAGTGCCCTGCCTCAAGATACAAGAAGACTCCTGTGAGAACCTCAGTCCGTCCCAGATCGATAATTTTGTCGATACTGCTACAGGCTCTTTGAGAGTGGCGCTGGATGCTATTGCTCCTCTGGAAAGAAGAATAGCAACAAGAAGGAAGTCTGCTCCATGGTATACCCTCAAACACGGAACCTAAAGCAAATTGTGCGGAAACTTGAACGATTATGGCGTTCCACCAAATCAGAAGGATCTAGGCTAGTTTGGCAAGACAGCCTTAAAACGTATAAGAAGGCTCTCCGTAACGCAAGAGCATCTTATTACTCATCATTAATAGAGAAAAATAAAAACAACTCCAGGTTTCTCTTCAGCACTGTAGCCCGACTGACAGAGAGTCACAGCTCTGTCGAGCCGTGTATTCCTTTGGACCTCACTAGTAACGACTTCATGAACTTCTTCAATGATAAGATTCTGACTATCAAAGAGAAAATTGATGGTCTCCTGCCTTCAACCAGTGCCGACCTGTCCTCCGATGTAGGAACCTTGGATGCAGCAGTGGGCCCTGATGCCTGTTTGGATGCCTTCTCTTCCATCAACCTTGATCAACTGACTTCTTTATTTTCAAAGTCTAAATCTTCTACTTGTCTCTTGGATCCGATTCCGACCAAACTGCTTAAGGAAGTTTTTCCTTTAGTTAGCACATCCTTATTAGATATTATGAATCTGTCTTTGTTGACAGGACATGTACCACAGTCCTTCAAGGTAGCTGTAATTAAACCTCTTCTTAAGAAACCTACTCTTGCTCCAGAGGTGTTGGCTAACTACAGACCTATCTCTAATCTTCCCTTCCTCTCTAAGATCCTTGAGAAATCCGTCGCAAATCAATTATGTGACTTTCTACAAAACAATGCTTTGTTCGAGGATTTCCAGTCAGGATTTCGAGTGCATCACAGTACAGAAACAGCACTGGTGAAAATTACGAATGATCTTCTACTTGCATCGGACCAAGGACTCATCTCTTTTCTTGTCTTGCTGGACCTCAGTGCCGCATTTGATACCATAGACCATTGTATCCTGTTGCAGAGACAAGAACATTTAATTGGTATCAAAGGAACTGCACTCAGCTGGTTTAAATCCTACTTATCGGACCGATCCCAGTTTGTGCTTGTAAACGGTGAATCCTCAAAGACCACCAATGTTGGTCACGGAGTCCCACAAGGTTCTGTACTTGGACCGATTTTATTTACCCTCTATATGCTTCCTTTGGGCGATCTTATCAGGAAACACCGCATAAACTTCCATTGTTATGCAGACGATACTCAACTGTATCTGTCGATCAAGCCAGAAGAGACGGACCAGTTAGTTAGACTTCAAGAATGTCTTGGAGACATCAAAACTTGGATGACCGGCAACTTCCTGATGCTAAACTCAGAAAAAACGGAAGTTATCCTGATAGGCCCAGAGCGCCTTCGAAGCCAGCTGTCACGTGATACAGTTTTTATGGATGGAATTGCTCTGGTACCCAGCAGCACCGTCAGGAATCTGGGAGTTCTCTTCGACCAGGATATGACCTTCAACTCTCATATAAAGAAGACTTCAAGGACTGCCTATTTTCATCTACGTAACATATCAAAAATCAGGAACGTCCTGTCTCAAAGTGATGCAGAAAAATTAGTTCATGCGTTTGTCACTTCCAGACTGGACTACTGTAATTCTTTGTTATCAGGCTGCTCTTGTAAATATCTTAAGCCTCTCCAGTTGATTCAGAATGCTGCAGCACGTGTATTAACAAGAACTAAGAAAAGGGATCATATCACTCCTGTATTAACTTCTCTGCACTGGCTCCCTGTTAAATCAAGAATAGATTTTAAGGTACTTCTCCTCACCTACAAGGCACTTGCTGGTGAGGCACCGCTGTATCTTCAAGAGCTTGTAACACCGTATTGCCCTACTAGGCAACTGCGCTCCATAGATGCTGGGTTACTTGTTGTTCCTATGGTTTTAAAAAGTAGGCTGGGGGCCAGAGCCTTCAGTTATCAAGCTCCTCTTTTTTGGAACCAGGTTCCACTTTCAGTCCGGGGGGCAGATTCGGTCAGCTCTTTTAAAGTAAAACTTAAAACGTTCCTCTTTGATTCCGCCTATAGTTAGGGCTGGCTCAGGTTAGTCCGGACCAGCCCTTAGTTAAGCTGCTATAGGCTTAGAATGCCGGGGGAATTCTTAGGACACACCGAGGTCCTCTCTCACGCTCTCGTTCTACCATAATTCAAGTTTTATTAATGCACATGACTAATTCAGCTTCTTTCCGGGAGTTTTTTTTGTGCTTTCTCCCCTATCAGGTCTCCGTAGATCGTGGTTTCTTCGGGACCCTGGTCCTGACACCAACCGTGGCCATGCTGACGCCTGCTGCTGCCATCATCATCAATATTTTAGATATTAATCATATTACTGTACTCATAAACCGACATTACCCTCTCCTAAAGTCTCTGTGCTCTCCCTCCCCACAGGCTTCTGTGGATGGTGGTTCTATCTGATGGTGGCTTTCCCTGCAGTGGTCCTGCTGTGCGCCTGGCTTACTACTCACAATTACTTGAATCATTTCTGTCATAGGAATTGCATGTATTATACATTGTTCATTCTGCACACATGGCATCCATTGTAGTCTGTCCATCCCGGGAGTGGGATCCCTCCTCTGACGTTCTCCCTAAGGTTTCTTCCCTTTTTTCCCTCTTGTAAGGGTTTTTTCATTTTTGGGGGAGTTTTTCCTGTGCCGATGGTGGGTTTCGGGGCAGAGGATGTTGTATGTGTACAGACTGTAAAGCCCTCTGAGGCAAATTTGTAATTTGGGATTATGGGCTATACAAAATAAAATGAATTGAATTGAATTGAATTATCTCTCTCTCTTAAGCTGTAGGAAATTAGGTGTTTTTCTGGGCTTTGGGGGCTTGTTCACAGACGTTGGTACATTGAAAGAAAGGTACATTCAAACAGGTGTGAGCGAGACCAAGCCAACTCTGGTCCATTTCAGGCCCGTCGTTTGCATGCATCGCAGGTGAGCCGTTCGCATGTGGCTATTTCTAAATACAGGTGTGCATACACCCGAGATACAGACCACATGCTTTCTTTGAGAATTACAAAAGTACGTCGAGTTGTATAGGGTGCCTCTGTATGGGGCGCCGTTTGTAAAATGTTGCACGTTCTAAAATCCTGCGCAGTTTTGCTACATTTAGCATTATCATATGAACAAAAAAGCACAACAATATTCACATGTCACTTTTTCAAACATTGAGAGAGAAATTCATGTAAATTCATGCAATAACTTTTCTAAGGATAATGTTTGGCAGTAACACAAAGTTGTTAAATAATATAAATGTTAAATCTAAATCTAAATGTTATATCTAAATGTTAAATATAAATGTAAATATTAAATGTAAATATTACTTATAACTTAAGTACCTGAGTGGATGCAACTATCAAATGCAATATTTTAAGTTATATTTTCTGTTGACTCAAGTATTTTAGTAGGTCTGAATAATAATGTTAAGTTTGACAAACTTTGACAAAATAAGATTTTATCTTATTTATTTGAAATTTGCTTGATTGTATTTTCTATTACTATTATGCATATTATTAAGCACTTTGTAACCTTGTTTGGAAAGGTGCTATATAAATAAACGTTATTATTATTATTATATTAACGTGTTTCAATCTGAAGCTAAACTCATTATACAAGGAGAAAGGTTTCTGTGTGCATGTGTGTCTTGATTATCAGAGTATATGTCAGATATATATATATATATATATATATATATATATATATATATATATATATATATATACACACACACACCTGTAAATTTAAGACACAATTACTATACTGAAAATCAGAGTAATAATCTAATCTAAATAAGTTTCAGGCCTATGTTCGGCAATGGACGGGAGAGTAGGTGGAGCGTCCCACTGGGACATCTATTCTTCTGACATTGGCCACTAAGTTGGCTCTCTGACAGCAGCATCGGGTTGATGCCTGTTGCCATACCAACGATTATCTCATCAGTAGCAACAAGTGCTCCTGTAGGGAATTGTGGAGTCCCTTGTGAACAGATCAGAGACGAGCAATGGTGCACTCTGAAAACATTTGCAGAGCGAAGCTGAAAACACTGTATACTAAATGCAATGTGAAGAGTGTGAGGGTTACGGCTGCTCAGCTGAACTCCGCTGGTAAGGAAATCCAACTACCTTACCAGCGACATCCAATATAGGCCCTCCATGTGATCTTGAATCAGCACAAAGAGTACAAAATCCAACTTTTTCAGATCATGGCCTCCAGGAATTACATGGAGGTCATGTTGTGAGAAGTAGTCACACATTTAACAAGCTGCTTAAGGAGAAATAGGCAAAATTCTATTGGAAGCAAAACAGTTCCCAAGCAATCAAAAACACAGCAAGTTTGTTCATATGCAATAACACAGCAGTTTCTAGACTACAGCTGCTTCAAACTAGAACAAATTCTGGATTTGTAAAGGTGAGCAAGTGAATACAAACAGGTCTAGTAACAATAACAACACACTCTACTATAGCATGTTTTTTAGCAAAGGACAGTGTTCTGACCCGATAACTGAAGCTCTGCCCACCGCAGCTGGACAAGGTAACTGTAGGGAGCCTATTCTCACCTAGTTTCAGGAGGCAGCCTTGCAGCAGCATCTAGAAGAGTTCTCGATCTGTCAGATGCTGCCAGTGACACGGAGACGGTCTTTGCTTTGTCCCAGCGCCGTGGCAACAACTGCCAGCGAACACTGTGCCGACGAGAGCTTGATTCGTTAACCACCACACAAGAAAAGCTCCAGGGGCACCTTGTGTTTAACAGGGCATAACTGAGTGCCATCCACAAATGGCAATGGTGTTCGACCCCACCATGGGCGACAGGAAGAAAAAAGAAAGATTTTCAATATAGTTTACTGCAGTATAGTTTACTTCACCTGCTGAAGCAGTATAGTATAATGATATTGTGTATAATATATGTTTGCACACGAATATGTATAAATCCATCCCCAGAATGGTCAACACAACCAATGATCTGGTAATGTTTGTGTATGTGTACATGCACAATTAGACTCAAAGCTAATTGATCTCAACCTCTACAGTCTTATCCGGGGACTGTTCCTTTATCACACAGAAACACAACGAGCAATTTATTTAATCATTTATTTTTTTGGTCACCACATGAGTAAAACAATTTGCATCTCAGCTGATCCTACTTGATCATATTTCAAGACACAAACAGAAACATGCCAGCGATTGACATTTCCAAAAAATATATAATAATTCCATTTGATCACACTTAAAACCGAATACCGTGAGCAAAATACTTCAATCCACATGCAGTGGTGTAGTCTACGTGATACACAGGTCCACATGTCCTCATGGTTGAGCCAACACCAAGGGACGTTCTCTTTAATGTTTTCATTTAAAGTACCACTGATAAAGGTCGTGCATTACATGGTATTCCCTGTCTCTCGACATGTGTTTGCAGGCGAGGCAGATAGGCTGAATGAATTCATTTTGGGTCGACAGCAGGTGAGGGGTGGCTGTGAAGAACTTTCTCCACTCAAAGTAACGTGCGTACGCCTCGTCCTTCATGTCCAGCAGAAAGGCCGCCAGTGACTTTGCATCGGGGAAATCATTTACGTGGATGAAGGCGTCGGCGGGAAGGAATTGATCATAGTTTTCTCTCGGCGGACCCAAAACTACAGGGACCGTCCCCGCCACGAGGGGCCCGTTGACCTTCTCGGTGATGTAGTCTCTGTGGATCGAGTTCTCAAATGAGAGGTAAAACTTACAGCTAGCAATTGTTGAGTAGTACTCATCATAACTTAAAACATTCCCAGTATAGGCTCTACCAAAGACACTGATGTTGATGTGTTTGGATAGTTCACGATAATATTGTTCTCTCACAGCTGTTCCTGTTTGAGGGTTATTGTTACTGACTATCCAGCACACTAGTTTGTCTTTCTTGGGCAAAACAAAGTCCTCCTTCGCTTCAGTCTCTCTGATTGTGAGATCATTCCTCACATTGATGTCAGCGTATCTTCTGTAGCTCAACGTTAAGTTGAACAGGTTGACCAGACCCGGTACCTTCCCTGTGTTTGTCGGCGATTCCACATGGAACCAAATCCACTTCTGAAAAGCTGGACGTGGCTCCTGTGGCATGTTGTCCAAATTCCAGGCTATGTCCCTTTGGAAGAAAATGACTCCATGTGCCTTGCTGTAGAGGGATCTATCATCTGTCAGAACACAGCTATCAATTTGGAAGTTGGTTGAGCAAATTTTGAAGTCAAACCTCACACCGAGGGGCCAGAACCACAGCAGGACTATGGGCTTCTCATTTGGTTTCACGTCTTGAGGATTTTCCGCAGGTGCGTATTTAGGGGAACAAACAGGGGACGCAGGCTCTAAATAGAGGAAGAATGCCAAAATAGAGCCAAAGAGGCAGATAGCAACTATATTTGTTATCCACCATGTTTTCTTGGAATCTGGTATCTTCATCTGTGGAAGTAGAGAGTGAAGCAAAGAATTAGATATCTACATTATCTCAGAAGTTGTGGGAAATAAGAGTTTAATCATCAGTCAAAAAGATTAACAAATCATGACTTTAGATGTCATAACATCAGAGGATTGGTGGATAGATCCAACAAAAAGTGATCTTTCAGCCAGGAGACCTCTGTTCATTCCACATGTGGAAATAGAAGACAATGGAGATTCACCTTTCATTTAACGGCGCTTCCATAGTTATTTTAAATCAAACAACAATCTTTTCCCAAAACAAACCTAACTTTATGTTTCCTGTAAAGACTGCCATTTATTTTGCAAAGACTGTGTACATACACAGTAATTACTCCAGCAACACATATGTCATTTGTTGCTGGAGTAATTTTTTTGATCATTGTCTATAGCATCCCAAAAGTCCAATCAATGCTTTGCTATTGACAGGAATGAGTGAGAGATTACAGTTTTGACAAAAAAGATTTTTTTAAACTGACTGCAATCCGTTTATTTTTCACTGTGTGTGAGGACTATACAGAAATACAGAGACTATCACACTTTAGGATTGCAACGGCAATAGCAAAGCAATCTTTTTTCATGCATTTGAATTCCTCCCAATTCCTGCTTCTGCCTCTGAATCATGGGTATTGAAGTTTCAAGGCTTGTCCACTAAGCTAAAATTACGAATAAAAAACTTCTCAGAGTTAGAGGTGAAATAATATAAAATGCTCTCCATGACATAAGGCTTAATACATTATCCAGGACAGTGAGGATATGATTTGACAAAACATTTAGTGAATGGTGAAAACGCTTCTTTCCCTGCCTCAAATTCTTTTGTATTTACTAGTACATTTTTATTTTAACCAATGCAATTGCGTGTTGTTGTTGGACCATTAAGGACGCATTACTTTCAAAACCACCAAGATGTTCAAGTTGGCCAAACAACCAATTCTGACAGTTATTTAGCATTAGAAACAGCGTCATATGATTCAGTATAATATTAACATGTATTATAATAGTGAGAAAACGGCAGAACAGCTGTAGATTGTATTTGTCCCAAAGATAATCACGTTTTTAAGGCTAAATTTTTAGAGATTAAACTGTCAATATCGACATCACCACTAAATAACATATTCCTTTCTTACCGTTTCAGAGTATGAGGGATGGATGTCTCTTTCTTGTAGGCGGTGGGCCAACTGTGTGACACTTCAGCACAGTCAAATGCCTTGGATAACCTTCCAAAGTCAGCGAGAAAATACTGTTGTCATACTTTGAACAACCTTCTGTAGATGGATGATTGTGATCAGATTCACAGTGTCGTCCACACAAAGAACCAATGAACGAACCGCACAACAGCCCAGGTTGAAGTTGTGTACTCAAGCACCTACGTATGGAAAACTCTGCCTGCAAAAACAAATGAGAGGCAAGGGGCGTGTACAAATAGAACTTCTAGTCAAACCTACTTCCTTATGAGCTCCTGTAAAAGAATTTGAGACGCACCTTCTGAGAAATGTGTAGGAGTGTAGAAATGATTGTATTACCTCAGAAGTTTTAGTCTGAATTTTAATCCCCTCTCTATGAACTGCTAAAAAGTTGAATGATCAGTAGATCCTTGTCATCCTTCTTAAATAAAATAAAAACATTTCAACCGTTTGTGGCACACACAACACAATAAGCACACAATTCATTTTTGTGCTGCTCTACAGTCTTATCCGGGGACTCTTCCTTCATCACACAGAAACGTAACCAGTAATTTATTTAATCATTTATTTTTTTTGTCTCCACATGAGTAAAACCATGTACATCCATATCCATCTGCTCCCACCCTGAGGTGGGTTTGTAAAAAAAGGAAATAAAAGCCAGAATGAACATTTAACACAACTAACACGCTGAACACAACCTGATAAAAGCCTCTTTGTTTGCATCCCAACTGGTCCAACTTGTTCATCTAGCAGCAAGGCAAAAAGACGAACATACAAAGGAACTAACTAACTAACTTCAGAAAACACGCTGAATCATTCAGTGGGGGAGGACTACAGGTTGTAAGGAAGAGTTTGAAGGAGGTTATCCAAATGTTAATATTACTAACATTAACAAAAGAACCATACCGACTAGCTGCTTCTACCTTTTTTTTACAGCCTTCAAGCTAAGCTAATTTTCTAAAAAAGGGACAATACATTCCAAAAATGTACAACAATTCCAGTTCATCACATGTACTTGAAAACGGAATACACTCTGCATAATACTTATGTATTTATCCACATGGTTGAGCAACACCAAGGGACGTTCTCTTTAATGTTTTCATTTAAAGTACCACTGATAAAGGTCGTGCATTACATGGTATTCCCTGTCTCTCGACATGTGTTTGCAGGCGAGGCAGATAGGCTGAATGAATTCTTTTTGAGTCGACAGCAGGTGAGGGGTGGCTGTGAAGAACTTTCTCCACTCAAAGTAACGTGCGTACGCCTCGTCCTTCATGTCCAGCAGAAAGGCCGCCAGTGACTTTGCATCGGGGAAATCATTTACGTGGATGAAGGCGTCGGCGGGAAGGAATTGATCATAGTTTTCTCTCGGCGGACCCAAAACTACAGGGACCGTCCCCGCCACGAGGGGCCCGTTGACCTTCTCGGTGATGTAGTCTCTGTGGATCGAGTTCTCAAATGAGAGGTAAAACTTACAGCTAGCAATTGTTGAGTAGTACTCATCATAACTTAAAACATTCCCAGTATAGGCTCTACCAAAGACACTGATGTTGATGTGTTTGGATAGTTCACGATAATATTGTTCTCTCACACCTGTCCCTGTTCGAGGGTTATGGTTACTGACTATCCAGCACACTAGTTTGTCTTTCTTGGGCAAAACAAAGTCCTCCTTCGCTTCAGTCTCTCTGATCGTGAGATCATTCCTCACATTGATGTCAGCGTATCTTCTGTAGCTCAACGTTAAGTTGAACAGGTTGACCAGACCCGGTACCTTCCCTGTGTTTGTCGGCGATTCCACATGGAACCAAATCCACTTCTGAAAAGCTGGACGTGGCTCCTGTGGCATGTTGTCCAAATTCCAGGCGATGTTCTTTTGGTAGAAAATAACTCCATGTGCCTTGCTGTAGAGGGATCTATCATCTGTCAGAACACAGCTATCAATTTGGAAGTTGGTTGAGCAAATTTTGAAGTCAAACCTCACACCGAGGGGCCAGAACCACAGCAGGACTATGGGCTTCTCATTTGGTTTCACGTCTTGAGGTTTTTCCGCAGGTGCGTATTTAGGGGAACAAACAGGGGACGCAGGCTCTAAATAGAGAAAGAATGCCAAAATAGAGCCAAAGAGGCAGATAGCAACTATATTTGTTATCCACCATGTTTTCTTGGAATCTGGTATCTTCATCTGTGGAAGTAGAGAGTGAAGCAAAGAATTAGATATCTACATTATCTCAGAAGCTGTGGGAAATAAGAGTTTAATCATCAGTCAAAAAGATTAACAAATCATGACTTTAGATGTCATAACATCAGAGGATTGGTGGATAGATCCAACAAAAAGTGATCTTTCAGCCAGGAGACCTCTGTTCATTCCACATGTGGAAATAGAAGACAATTGAGATTCACCTTTCATGTAACGGCGCTTCCATAGTTATTTTAACTCAAACAACAATCTTTTCCCAAAACAAAGCTAACTTTATGTTTCCTGTAAAGACTGTCATTTATTTTGCAAAGACTGTGTACATACAGTATATGTCATTTGTTGCTGGAGTAATTTTTTTGATCATTGTCTATAGCATCCCAAACGTCCAATCAATGCTTTGCTATTGACAGGAATGAGCGAGAGATGACAGTTTTGACCAAAAATATATTTTTTAAACTGATTGCAATCCGTTTATTTTTCACTGTGTGTGAGGACTATACAGAAATACAAAGACTATCACACTTTAGGATTGCAACGGCAATAGCAAAGCAATCTTTTTTCATGCATTTGAATTGAATGCATTGAACCCTATGGTTGAATGCACTTATTGTACGTCGCTTTGGATAAAAGCGTCAGCTAAATGACATGTAATGAATTCCTCCCAATTCCTGCTTCTGCCTCTGAATCATGGGTATTGAAGTTTCAAGGCTTGTCTACTAAGCTAAAATTACGAATAAAAAACTTCTCCGAGATAGAGATGAAATAATATAAAATGCTCTCCATGACATAAGTCTTATTACATTATCCAGGACAGTGAGGATATGATTTGACAAAACATTTAGTGAATGGTGAAAACGCTTCTTTCCCTGCCTCAAATTCTTTTGTATTTATTAGTACATTTTTATTCTAACCAATGCAATTGCGTGTTGTTGTTGGAGCATTAAGGACGCATTACTTTCAAAACCACCAAGACGTTCAAGTTGGCCAAACAACCAATTCTGACAGTTATTTAGTATTTGAAACAGCGTCATATGATTCAGTATAATATTAACATGTATTATAATAGTGAGAAAACGGCAGAACAGCTATAGATTGTATTTGTCCCAAAGAAAATCACGTTTTTAAGGCTAAAGTTTTAGAGATTAAACTGTCAATATTCACATCACCACTGAATAACATATTTCTTTCTTACTGTTTCAGAGTTTGAGGGATGATGTCTCTTTCTTGTAGGCGGTGGGCCAACTGTGTGACACTTCAGCACAGTCAAATACCTTGGAAAACCTTCCAAAGTCAGCGAGAAAATACTGTTGTCATACTTTGAACAACCTTCTGTAGATGGATGATTGTGATCAGATTCACAGTGTCGTCCACACAAAGAACCAATGAACAAACCGGTTGAAGTTGTGTACTCAGAGAACCTGCGTATGGAAAACTCTGCCCGCAAAAACAAATGAGAGGCAAGGGACATGTACAGATAGAACTTCTGGTTCAACGAGTCAAACCTACTTCCTAGTGAGGTGCAGCTGATGAGACGGATGTCTCTTTCCTGTTGGCGGTGGACCAACCATAACAGCTGTATGACACTTCAGCACAATCAAATATCTATAAAGTAATTAATTTAATCGTTTATTGATGTAGTCACCACATGAGTAACACCATGTGCATCCCCATCGATCTTCTCCCACCGAGGTGGGTTTTTAAAAAGATGAAACAAAAGCCAAAATGAACATGACACGACTAACAAGCTGAACGCAACCTGCCAAACGGCTCTTTTCTGCATCAGAACTGGTCCTACTTGTTCACCTATGAGCGAGGTACAAACGATTAACAATTAAAATTCTGAGACGCGCCTTAGCTTCAGAAACCACACTTTCAGTTGTAGGCAGTGCAGAATCAAGGTGCAGTTTGCTCAGCAACATATTTTTCAACATCGAGAATGTTGCTATTCTACAAAAACTGGTATGCCTGTCTGAGAGGCACAAGATGCTTGTGACTCAAAGGTAGGAGACAGAACCTTTTTTTTTTTACACCACTTTTTGTACAAATGAGACAAACATAACATGTTAGTTAACAAGCTTTGTCTTCAATCGCTGTTGACGGTGTAAATGTCAAATCTGAAACCTACCCAGTTGGTGGCTAATGACTCATAAAAACCGTAGATGAGAAGGGTTAGTGTTAAATAATATTGATTATTTAATAAAGCTGTGTTCTTTTATAGAGATAAGAGTCTCTTTCTCACATGGTGAAGAAAAAAAGGATTTTAGATTCAATCCCTCGGACTGACAATACAACTCGCAACCTTTCTTCATCCTGAGAAAAAGGTAAATGTTATAGATTTCACTTATTTATTCAACCTTCCGTGGAGCCTATCCTGAGTAATAGTTTTCATGTCTCTTACCTCTTGCACTCATGCTTTAGGGGGTTGAAAGAAATGATCCAAATCGGTTTGACTCCTTTGAGCAGGCCGTCATAAAACATCCTGCACTCTGCAGCATGCTACTTTATTTGCAAAAAAGACAACTCTCAGGAAAGAATGACATATACCAGCCCTGCTCTGCCACACATTTTGTGTTGGCCTAAGGGAGCAGAGTGAAGATATATAAACGTATATCTAGCTAAGTGGATAAAGAGAAGATTTAGCAGGAGGTGCCTGGAAGTACAGTGTCCCCAGAGGCCCATTTTGCTTATAAGCAAAGTGTGGCATTGAATCATTTGGATATTTATTGCTGCTGGCCCATAATGAGTTTCGCAAACGTCATCTGTCATCGCTCCCGGGAGAAGAAGAACTAGTGGGGGTAATAAAAGCTCCACTGGCCACTTGGAAAACATTCACGTCATTATTATCCAGGATCAAAAAGCAGAAGTTGAAGGGGCCCACAATTCTAATTTCAACGGGCTTCACAAGGCACAGCTTCTCCATAGTCCGTCTTGTGCCTGTTGGAAGCGTACACTTTGAAAGTAAACGGATGTCCTTTGTTCTAAATGCTGTCATGACCTGTGGAGGATGAGCGGCTTTTAACACTGCAATGTTACAGAGCTGGGGCCACAAGGGTCTAGACTCAAAAGTAGACTCAAGGCAGGGTAGTCAGAGGCAAAAATCGTCTTTACTTCAGGCAGGGGTTCAGTACACGGGTAGTCAGACAGAGAAGGCGGATCAATCCAAATCGGCAGGCAAAGGTTGACAGAAATGGGTCAAAACACGGGACTGGACACTCAGGCGAATCGCTGGTAAGCTCAAGAGACAAACCGGCACAGAACAAGCCGTTGGCACAGACACACAGGAGAACGAGACACAGGAAACAATAAGGGTGGGGCTTGCAATCACAGAAGACGGCGGTACCTTTTTTTTGTGTGCGGATCCTGTTACCTTCACAACATTAGCAGTATCACATTCCCACATTGGCATTGTTAACCGTGTATATGCATTTTATTAGTACAGCACAAAACACAGAAAATATAGTATGTATATGTAAGTTTTAAGTGTTGTGAGTCCACCTTCTACTGTCGAAGACTCCAGGTGTGTGGCCATGCCTCTTTAGGCTATGGTTGAAGCCTGAGCTCCAGATGTTCCCAAATAAACAAATTGGTACGTCCCCTGGGGGGTATTCCAGAAAGGAGGTTCAACAAACTCTGAGTCTATCCCTGAACTCTGAGTTGACTTACTCTGAGACGGGAAACTCTGAATATCTGGTTCCAGAACAGCTGATCTGCGTTAGTTCAATCAACTCTGAGTATGTTCACCTTGAGTTAAGCGCGTACATGAAAAGCCATCATCAATGGAGCCCCGATACCACGAGTCACCATGACAACAGAAAATAAAAGAGCAACACTTACAGACACATTTTTATTTCATACCTATCAGAGTCATTTAAAATGTGACGCTGTAGCCTATACTAACACTCATTAAAATACTAATTAAAAAACAAAGAAACATTGAGTTCTGCTCAGCCAACCTCCACCACCTCTGTCAGAGGCCCTCAGCCTAAACAGTGGTGGCCCGGTGGCTGAAGGTATCCCTGGGAGAAGCTCATCCGAGCCTGGCACCCCCCAGGACACAAGTGCCTACATTAGATGTAAGTATACACTTCTTTTAAAAAAAGAAAACTAATATATACACACTACCGTTCAAAAGTTTGGGATCACCCAGACAATTTTGTGTTTTCCATAAAAACACTAAAACACTTTTATTTATCAAATGAGTTGGAAAGAATAATAGAAAATATAGTCAAGACATTGACAAGATTAGAACTTATTCTTATTTGGAATATTAATTTTGTTCTTTCAAACTTTGCTTTCGTAAAAGAATGCTCCATTTGCAGCAATTACAGCATTGCAGACCTTTGGCATTCTAGCTATTCACTTGTTGAGGTAATCTGTGGAAATGTAGACTATTAGCAAACACAATGTACCAAGAAGACTGGAGTGGTAGTTGCTGGAAATGGGCCTCTATACACTGATGTTTCATTCAAAACCAGATGTTTCCACCTAGAATAGTAATTTACCACATTAACAATGTAAAGAGTGTATTTCTGATTTATTTATTGTTATCTTCATTGACCTCTCTGGGAACCGTCACCTTATTGTGGTGGAGAGGTTTGTGTGTCCCTATGAACCTGAGGGCTGTGTTGTCGGGAGCCTTGTGCTCCTGGTAGGGTTACCCTTGGCAAAGTGGTCTCAGGCGAGGGGCCAGACTAAGAATGGTTCAAGACCCCCATGAAAAAACGGAAGAGGGAAGGAGTTACCTGGCCCGGAGGAAGCCCGGGGCCCCCATTTGGAGCCAGGCCCAGATGGAGGGCCCGACAGCGAGCGTCTGGTGGCCGGGTTTACCGCGGAGCCCGGCCGGGCACAGCCCGAAGGAGTGACGCGGCAGCCCAACACTCTACTCCCCATGGGCTCACCACCTGTGGAGGAAACCGATGGGGTCGGGTGCGCTGCTACAAGGGTGGCAGTGACAGTGGGGGGTCTAGACGGAACAGACCTGGGCGGCAGATGCTGGCTCTGGGGACGTGGAACGTAACCTCTCTGGGGGGGAAGGAGCCGGAGCTTGTGCGGGAGGTGGAGCGTTATCAGTTGGATCTGGTGGGGCTTACCTCTACGCACAGCCTCGGCTCTGGAACCAAACTCCTGGATAGGGGGTGGACTCTATTCTACTCCGGAGTGGCCCATGGTGTGAGGCCCATGGTGTGTCTGTGCATATGCACCAAACAGCAGCTCAGAGTATTCGGCCTTTTTGGAGACCCTGAATGGAGTCCTGCATGGGGCTCCTGTAGGGGACTCCATAGTCCTACTGGGAGACTTCAATGCGCACGTGGGCGACGATGGAGATAACTGGAGAGGCGTGATTGGGAGGAATGGCCTCCCTGATCTGAACCCGAGCGGGTGTTTGTTACTGGACTTCTGTGCTAGTCACGGATTGTCCATAACAAACACCATGTTCGAACATAAGGATGTTCATAAGTGTACGTGGTACCAGAGCACCCTAGGCCAAAGATCAACGATCGATTTTGTAATCGTATCGTCTGATCTGAGGCCGCATGTTCTGGACACTCGGGTAAAGAGAGGGGCAGAGCTGTCAACTGATCACCATCTGGTTGTGAGCTGGGTCAGAGGATGGGGGAAGACTCGGGACAGACCCGGTAAACCCAAGCGTGTAGTGAGGGTGAACTGGGAACGTCTGGAGGAGGCCCCGGTCCAAAAGATTTTCAACTCACACCTCTGGCGGAGCTTCTCTCACATTCCTGTGGAGGTAGGGGACATTGAACCAGAGTGGTCTATGTTCAAAACCTCTATTGCTGAAGCCGCGGCGGTGAGTTGTGGCCTCAAGGTCTTAGGTGCATCAAGGGGCGGTAACCCTCGAACTCCGTGGTGGACACTGGTGGTCAGGGAAGCCGTCCGACTGAAGAAGGAGGCCTTCCGGGTTATGATATCCGGTGGGACTCCAGAGGCAGTTGCAGTGTACCGACAGGCTCGAAGGGCAGCAGCCTCTGCCGTGATGGAGGCAAAGCAGCGAGTATGGGAGGAGTTCGGGGTAACTATGGAGAAGGACTTTCGGTCGGCACCAAAGTGTTTTTGGAAGACCATCCGGCACCTCAGGAGGGGGAAACGGGGAACCATCCAAGCTGTGTACAGTAAGGATGGGACCCTGTTGACCGCGACTGAGGAGGTTATCGGGCGGTGGAAGGAACACTTTGAGGAACTCCTGAACCCAACTACTACGCCCTCTTTGGTGGAGGCGGAGCTGGAGGCGGAGGAGGGATCATCGTCAATTAGCCTGGTGGAAGTCACTGAGGTAGTCAAACAACTCCGCAGTGGCAAAGCCCCGGGGATTGATGAGATCCGTCCAGAGATGCTAAAAGCAATGGGTGTTGGGAGGTTGTCTCGGATGACACGCCTCTTCAACATTGCGTGGAAGTCTGGGACAGTGCCAAAAGAGTGGCAGATCGGGGTGGTGGTACCCCTCTTCAAAAAGGGGGACCAGAGAGTGTGTGCCAATTACAGGGGTATCACACTACTCAGCCTCCCGGGTAAAGTCTACTCTAAGGTGCTGGAAAGGAGGGTTCGGCCGATAGTCGAACCAAGGATTGAAGAGGAACAATGCGGTTTTCGTCCTGGTCGTGGAACAACGGACCAGCTCTTCACTCTTTCCAGGATCATAGAGGGGGCTTGGGAGTATGCTCAACCAGTCTACATGTGTTTTGTGGACTTGGAGAAGGCGTATGACCGGGTCCCCCGAGAGATACTGTGGGAGGTGCTGCGGGAGTACAGGGTGAGGGGGTCCTTGCTTGGGGCCATCCAATCCTTGTACGCCCAAAGCGAGAGCTGTGTTCGGGTGCTCGGCAGTAAGTCGAAGGCGTTTCCGGTGGGGGTTGGCCTTCGCCAGGGCTGCGCCTTGTCACCAATCTTGTTTGTGGTCTTCATGGACAGGATATCGAGGCGTAGTCGGGGGGAGGAGGGTCTACAGTTCGGGGGGCTGCGGATCTCATCGCTGCTTTTTGCAGATGATGTGGTCCTGATGGCATCTTCCGTCTGTGACCTCCAACTCTCACTGTAGCGTTTCGCAGTCGAGTGTGAAGCGGTCGGGATGAGGATTAGCACCTCTAAATCTGAGGCCATGGTTCTCAGCAGGAAACCGATGGATTGCCTACTCCAGGTAGGGAATGTGTCCTTACCCCAAGTGAAGGAGTTCAAGTACCTCGGGGTCTTGTTCACGAGTGAGGGGAAGATGGAGTGTGAGTTTGGCCGGAGAATCGGAGCAGCGGGGGCGGTATTGCACTCGCTTTACCGCACCGTTGTGACGAAAAGAGAGCTGAGCCGAAAGGCAAAGCTCTCGATCTACCGGTCAATCTTCGTTCCTACCCTCACCTATGGTCATGAAGGATGGGTCATGACCGAAAGAACTAGGTCACGGGTACAAGCGGCCGAAATGGGTTTCCTCAGGAGAGTGGCTGGCGTCTCCCTTAGGGATGGGGTGAGAAGCTCAGCCATTCGCGAGGAGCCGCTGCTCCTTTGCGTCGAAAGGAGCCAGTTGTGGTGGTTTGGGCATCTGGTGAGGATGCCCCCTGGGCGCCTCCCTAGGGAGGGAAGAGGCCCCGGGGAAGACCCAGGACTAGGTGGAGAGATTATATCTCTGCACTGGCCTGGGAACGCCTTGGGATCCCCCAGTCAGAGCTGGTAGATGTGGCCCGGGAAAGGGAAGTTTGGGGTCCCCTGCTGGAGCTGTTGCCCCCGCGACCCGACCCCGGATAAGCGGTTGAAGATGGATGGATGGATATCTTCATTGAAAAAAATAAGCTTTTCTTTGAA